ACCAACACTCTTATATGGGTGTGAAGCTTGGGTGGTAATGCAGCAGCGAGGAGACGGTTGGAGGCAGCGGAGATGTCCTGTTTAAGGGCAATGTGTGGTGTAAATATTATGCAGAAAATTCGGAGTGTGGAAATTAGGAGAAGGTGTGGAGTTAATAAAGTATTAGTCAGAGGGCAGAAGAGGGGTTGTTGAGGTGGTTTGGTCATTTAGAGAGAATGGATACAGTAGAATGACATGGAAAGCATATAAATCTATAGGGGAAGGAAGGCGGGGTAGGGGTCGTCCTCGAAAGGGTTGGAGAGAGGGGGTAAAGGAGGTTTTGTGGGTAAGGGGCTTGGACTTCCGCAAGCGTGCGTGAGCGTGTTAGATAGGAGTGAATGGAGACGAATGGTACTTGGGACCTGAGATCTGTTGGAGTGTGAGCAGGGTAATATTTAGTGAAGGGATTCAGGGAAACGGTTATTTTCATATAGTCGGACTTGAGCCCTGGAAATGGGAAGTACAATGCCTGCACTTTAAAGGAGGGGTTTGGGATATTGGCAGTTTGGAGGGATATGTTGTGTATCTTTATATTGTTTATGCTTCTAGACTGTTGTATTCTGAGCACTCTGCAAAAACAGTGTTAATGTGCGAGTGTGGTGAAAGTGTTGAATGATGATGAAAGTATTTTCTTTTTGGGGATTTTCTTTCTTTTTTGGGTCACCCTGCCTCGGTGGGAGACGGCCGACTTGTTGAAAAAAAAAAAAAAAAAAAAAAAATAAACATCTTACAAGCCAGTGCTTTTAACGTATTTAAACTCTAAAATTTTAGTGGCTTCAAATCAAGTGGGAGAAAGCTGGTAAGCCCACATATGAGAGAATGGGGCTGTGTGGTCAGTGTGTGCAGTATAAAAAAAATCCTGCAGCATGCAGTGCATAATGAGAAAAAAAAACTCCGACCGTGTTTTTGGATTAAAACGCTGACTTTGAGGTGTATTTTTGTATAGTATTTATGGTTGTATTCTCGTTTTCTTGGTCTCATTTGATAGAATGGAAGACATATTACAGAAACAGAGATGATTCTGACTGGTTTCATGATAAAAAGGACCTTGAAATTGAGCTCAAATTAGCAGAAATGTTCAACTTTGTCAATGTTCAAAAATAAAGAAATGACCTCATTGTCCAATAGTGTCCAATTAGCCATTCTAATATGCAGTCATGAATGGGTTGTCATTATTTATACAATTATTACAATAATGCAGTAGTCTGTTTAACAGTAAATCTTCTATTTTTTGTGAATAAAAATTCAAAATAGAAAGCAAGAGTAATACAAGAGGGGTCTGTAGATGTGACTGATGAACAGAGAAAATGTTATTTTATTGTCAGGAATGTCTGGCATCTTGAAATTGGCATCTTTCTTAATTTGCATGAAATTGGCCAAATTGCCAATTTCTGACCACTTTACTGGGTAGGTGAAATAGATAAATGAGCAGTTTCTTGTACTAAGTCAATAGAACAAATGAAGTTCTAGAGAAACAGCTATGAGTTTGGTCAACTGGAACAACGGAATTGGCTGAAAATAGGGCTCAAAGTGGGCGAAATCGCTGATGCACAAACATCGCCGAGATCGCTAACTTCATGAGAACATAATTCTGTAAGTTTTCCATCAAATTTCGTACTTTTGGTGTCATAACATCGGGAAAAGATTCTCTATCATTTCACAAGAATTTTTTTTTTTTTTTCAAAAATTTTGCGACACAGAGAGACGCTTTAGGATTTGGGGTTGCGACAGTCTAAGGGTTAAAGATTTTTTCATCTTTTGCAAATACATATGTATGTTCAATTGTTTGCACAGATTTTTATTTATTCTGACAATTTAAAAAATGAAAAATATTACCAGGACAAACAGTAACCTTTCTGGAAGTCAGCTGGTAATATTTCCTCACCAGGATATTTCACCTCTTACTGCTGTAATTCACTGCAATGAATTGCATTTTATACTTATTAAAACTTTCTTTAAATCTGCCATCAGCCCATCAATGCCTTTTTTTAATAATTTGTGACTGTCACAGTAGGTTGAGGAACTTACTAATCAAAAACTAAACCTACTACCAGTTAGTAGCTTTTTACTTTCTTAGTATGTTTTAGCTACATATTTTTTAATCACATATTCTATTATTTTCACAATGTTTGTCAGTGACAGGTCTATACAGTCACCTTTTTTTTTTAATATTGCAATTTTCATTTGTAGGAGTGAGGAAGAGCCAGTTTTGAGTGTGGGGGAAGTTCGTGAGGCAGTAGGTAAAATGAAAGGGGGTAAGGCAGCCGGGATTGATGGGATAAAGATAGAAATGTTAAAAGCAGGTGGGGTTATAGTTTTGGAGTGGTTGGTGCAATTATTTAATAAATGTATGGAAGAAGGGAAGGTACCTAGGGATTGGCAGAGAGCATGCATAGTTCCTTTGTATAAAGGCAAAGGGGACAAAAGAGAGTGCAAAAATTATAGGGGGATAAGTCTGTTAGAGTATACCTGGTAAAGTGTATGGTAGATTTATTACTATAGGTAGTAGGTTGGTAGACAGCAACCGCCCAGGGAGGTACTACCGTCCTGCCAAGTGAGTGTAAAACGAAAGCCTGTAATTGTTTTACATGATGGTAGGATTGCTGGTGTCCTTTTTTCTGTCTCATGAACATGCAAGATTTCAGGTACGTCTTGCTACTTCTACTTACACTTAGGTCACACTACACATACATGTACAAGCACATATATACACACCCCTCTGGGTTTTCTTCTATTTTCTTTCTAGTTCTTATTCTTGTTTATTTCCTCTTATCTCCATGGGGAAGTGGAACAGAATTCTTCCTCCGTAAGCCATGCGTGTTGTAAGAGGCGACTAAAATGCCGGGAGCAAGGGGCTAGTAACCTCTTCTCCTGTATATATTACTAAATGTAAAAGGAGAAACTTTCGTTTTTCCTTTTGGGCCACCCCGCCTCGGTGGGATACGGCCGGTGTGTTGAAAGAAAGAAAAGATTTATTACTGAAAGAATTAAGAGTAAGACGGAGAATAGGATAGCAGATAAACAAGGAGGCTTTAGGAAAGGTAGGGGGTGTGTGGACCAGGTTTTTACAGTGAAACATATAAGTGAACAGTATTTAGATAAGGCTAAAGAGGTTTTTGTGGCATTTATGGATTTGGAAAAGGTGTATGACAGGGTGGATAGGGGGGCAATGTGGCTGATGTTGCAGGTGTATGGTGTAGGAGGTAGGTTACTGAAAGCAGTGAAGAGTTTTTACGAGGATAGTGAGGCTCAAGTTAGAGTATGTAGGAAAGAGGGAGATTATTTCCCAGTAAAAGTAGGCCTTAGACAAGGATGTGTGATGTCACCGTGGTTTTTTTTTTTTTTTTTTTTTCAACAAGTCGGCCGTCTCCCACCGAGGCAGGGTGACCCAAAAAAAAGAAAGAAAATCCCCAAAAAGAAAATACTTTCATCATCATTCAACACTTTCACCACACTCACACATTATCACTGCTTTTGCAGAGGTGCTCAGAATACAACAGTTTAGAAGCATATATGTATAGAGATACACAACATATCCCTCCAAACTGCCAATATCCCAAACCCCTCCTTTAAAGTGCAGGCATTGTACTTCCCATTTCCAGGACTCAAGTCCGACTATATGAAAATAACCGTGGTTGTTTAATATATTTATAGATGGGGTTGTAAGAGAAGTAAATGCGAGGGTCTTGGCAAGAGGCGTGGAGTTAAAAGATAAAGAATCACACATAAAGTGGGAGTTGTCACAGTTGCTCTTTGCTGATGACACTGTGCTCTTGGGAGATTCTGAAGAGAAGTTGCAGAGGTTGGTGGATGAATTTAGTAGGGTATGCAAAAGAAGAAAATTAAAAGTGAATACAGGACAGAGTAACAAAAGAGATTAGGTGATGAATGATTGGATATCAGATTGGAGGGAGAGAGTATGGAGGAGGTGAATGTATTCAGATATTTGGGAGTGGACGTGTCAGCAGATGGGTCTATGAAAGATGAGGTGAATCATAGAATTGATGAGGGGAAAAGGGCGAGCGGTGCACTTAGGAGTCTGTGGAGACAAAGAACTTTGTCCTTGGAGGCAAAGAGGGGAATGTATGAGAGTCTAGTTTTACCAACGCTCTTATATGGGTGTGAAGCATGGGTGATGAATGTTGCAGCGAGGAGATGGCTGGAGGCAGTGGAGATGTCATGTCTGAGGGCAATGTGTGGTGTGAATATAATGCAGAGAATTCGTAGTTTTGGAAGTTAGGAGGAGGTGCGGGATTACCAAAACTGTTGTCCAGAGGGCTGAGGAAGGGTTGTTGAGGTGGTTCGGACATGTAGAGAGAATGGAGCGAAACAGAATGACTTCAAGAGTGTATCAGTCTGTAGTGGAAGGAAGGCGGGGTAGGGGTCGGCCTAGGAAAGGTTGGAGGGAGGGGGTAAAGGAGGTTTTGTGTGCGAGGGGCTTGGACTTCCAGCGGGCATGTGTGAGAGTGTTTGATAGGAGTGAATGGAGACAAATGGTTTTTAATACTTGACATGCTGTTGAAGTGTGAGCAAAGTAACATTTATGAAGGGATTCAGGGAAACCGGCAGGCTGGACTTGAGTCCTGGAGATGGGAAGTACAGTGCCTGCACTCTGAAGGAGGGGTGTTAATGTTGCAGTTTAAAAGCTGTAGTGTAAAGCACCCTTCTGGCAAGACAGTGATGGAGTGAATGATGGCGAAAGTTTTTCTTTTTCGGGCCACCCTGCCTTGCTGGGAATCGGCCAGTGTGCTAATAAAAAAAAATAAAAATAAAATTTTCATTTGTACATTACTCTTTGATAGCAAAATCTCAAAAACCCAAGAGTGCATAAATTACTTCATATGAATGCATTTAAATGAACCTTAATCCTATAAATTATGATGAAAACCCTTTGAGCCCACTGGGTAACCAATGTCATGTGTGTCTGCATAGTATATGTATGTTCATGTCATGTAACCTACCGTAATATCTCTTCATTCTGTCATCAGCATCATTAATATCTAGATGACCTGCAGACTGTTGTTCCTCTCCGTCAGGCTTGTTATCATCAGCATCACGATCTAAACCAATCATGGCTTCCATATTTATATCCCCATTCATCAACGGCTGAAATTAACAAAATATATTCGAATCTTCTCAGCTAAATTAAAAAGACTAGAATCATTAAATCACAAAAATAAGCAATCTATTTTTTATCATAGGATGCTTTAGTTCATTTGAAAATTTACCTTGAAGGCATTTGGCATAAAAAAAATAAAGAAATATTGCCCTACATTAAGTTACCTGTCTTCGTTTTGGTTCTCCAAAGGATGACTGTGAGTGAAGATATCCAAGATCTGTTTGATAAGGATCTGTCAATCCTGTCTGACCATCAAGATGTTGATTATAAGAGCGCATATGTTCAGGTGGAGGCGGAGGTGGAGGATATTCAGAGTCATTGAAGTCAGGACTTTCAGGGTAGTCACTGGGGCTCACCTGTAAAATAATAATAATAAACTATATTTCTAAACATTTTGGGAATAGGCATTCTGTGTTTTATATAATATTTATTTACCGAATTAGGTGGCAGATCAATTTTCCTCAATTTTTATGACAGGAAAATGTGTTCAATTTTTTTTCACTGCTGCTTTGCCAGTTAATCATGAGTGTGTTAGTTACCACATGAGCTGCATGATCCACAAGCAGCTAATAAAAAAGGATTCTGTGTTCTAATGAATCAATGACTATCTTAGAAAAATGAAAATAAACTCACCACTAAAGCCATTTCTTCCCCTTTATCCTTCTTACTAAAATAAATCTGAATAATACTTAAATACTGCAATACAGTTAATTTTTACAGCATTTTCTGTTCATCACTTGCATTAAATTTTTGCATATGTAAACATTTTTATGAACATTTTCTTTGTGTTTAGGGTAATATTTTGTGAAGGAATTCAGGGAAACTGGTTAGCCAGACTTTAGTCCTGAAAGTGGGAAGCACAACGCCTGTACTTTAAAGGAGGGATTTGGGATACTGGCCGTTTGGAGGAACATCTAAACTGTCGTATCTGAGAGCCTCTGCAAAGACAGTCATTATGTATGAATGATGGTGAGAGTATTGAATGATGAAAGGTTTTCCTTTCTTCTTGGGTTTTTCTTCCTTTTTGGGCCACCCTGCCTCTGTGGGAAACGGCCGATATGTTAAAAAAAAAAAATTCTTTTTGCTTAAGACCATTAAACGGAAAATAATTAACCACAAGATTTTATTCAAAATATACCTGCGGTATACCTGTGTGGTTTGATAGGTTTTCTACCATCACAGCCCAGCCTGAGGCCAAACTTTTCTGGTGATGATGTTGGAAGCCTGATTGCCTACATATTCATCACACTTTTTGATCTGGCATTTGTCAAAGAGAGTGCTCTAGTTTCCTCTTAAAAACTCATACCAACAATATTTTTGGTATCTAGATGTTGCAACAGTGTTTTATTATTGTGCCTACAGCATCTCTGCATTTCACTAGGTCTATTTTACACTTTGTTCCATATTTCTCCTTCCAGTACAGTGTTGTGGTAGCATGCAGGTTTCAGACTTGGCCCTTAAGTAATTTTCCATGTATATAGTATTAGGTATCACATCCTTTGCTCCAAAGAGGCATTTCCAATAGGTTAAATGCTGTATTGGCTGATTTTGGTATGTCTTCCAGCTCCAATATCTCTCCGGTCTTGAATAGTACCATCAACAAAGAATAATTTTCTAAATGAGACAACACAAGCAATTTGAATAGTGTCACCGTTAGCATTACTTCTCGTGTCAGTCACTGACTGTTCCATACCCAAATCTGCTTTCTTTCTATAAAGTCTTTATGAAAATGAATGTCTAAAATTCTGAAAAGTAATCTTAAAAAAGAAAAAAAAATTATTCAGCATTTTTAAAATCCAACACACACTTATTCCCCATCAAAGTTAGATAATCAATGATTTATTGTATAGAAGAATCTTCTTTCAACAAACCGGCTGTATCCCATCGAAACAAAGTGACCCAATAAGAAAAACGAAAGTTTCTATTCTAAACTTTAGTAGCATATACAGGAGAAGGGGTTACTAGCCCCTTGCTCCTGGATGTAGAAGAATATAGACAGATAAATAATTGATGTTATGAAGGGACAGGAATAGATATATGGATCAATTACGAAAAGAAAAACAAACACTTTCCTCCACTTTGATAAACAATGGCTATAATTTAAGATTTTAAAGGAAATCACAGTACAGTGGACCCCCGGCATACGATATTAATCCGTTCCTGAGAGCTCATTGTATGCCAAAATTATCGTGAGGCGATTTAATTTTCCCCATAAGAAATAATGGAAATCAAATTAATCCGTGCAAGACACCCAAAAGTATGAAAAAAAAGTTTTACCACATGAAATATTAAGTTTAGTGCACACAAACTGAAGAAGACATGCACAGTTAGTAGTACTCTACTAACAACAGAATACATGACACTTACCTTTAATGAAGATCTGGTGATGATTGATGGGATGGGAGGAGGGGAGAGTGTCGAAGTTGTTATTGTTTAGAAGGGGAATCCCCTTCCATTAGGACTTCAGGTAGCAAGTCGTTTTCCGGGTTGACTTCTCTTCTTCTTTTAATGCCACTAGGACCAGCTTGAGAGTCAGTGGACTTCTGTCACACAACATATCTGTCCATAGAGGCCTGTACCTCTCGTTCCTTTATGACTTTTCTAAAGTGGTTCACAACATTGTCATTGCAATAGTCACCAGCACGGCTTGCAATAGCTGTGTGAGGGTAATTTTCATCCATAAAGGTTTTCACCTTTGTCCACATTGTACACATTTCTTTAATCACTGAAGTAGGCAACTTCTTCAATTTCTCTATCCCCTCCTCTGAAGCAGTTTCCTCAGGTCTGGCCTCTTGCTGTTGAAGATGATTTAGCAGCTCATCAGTAGTTAGTTCTTCATTGTCCTCCTCCACCAACTCTTCCACATCCTCCCCACTAACCTCCAACCCCAAGGACTTCCCCAATGCCACAATGGATTCCTCAACTGGCATACTATTCCCAGGGTTAGCCTCAAACCCTTCAAAATCCCTTTTGTCTACACATTCTGGCCACAGTTTCTTCCAAGCAGAGTTCAAGGTCCTCTTAGTCACTCCCTCCCAAGCCTTACCTATAAGGTTTACACAATTGGGAATATTACAGTGATCCTTCCAAAACTCTTTTAGAGTCAATCGAGTGTCTGTGGTCACTTCAAAGCACTTTTGAAACATAGCTTTTGTGTACAGTTTCTTGAAATTGGAAATGACCTGCTGGTCCATGGGCTGCAGGAGAGGAGTGGTATTAGGAGGCAAAAACTTGACCTTAATGAAGCTCATGTTCTCAGAAAGTTGCTCTGCCAAGTCTGTAGGATGACCAGGGGCATTGTCTAATACCAGGAGGCACTTAAGGTCTAATTTCTTTTCAATTAGGTAATTTTTCACATTGGCGGCAAATGCATGGTGTAACCAATCATAGAAAAAGTCCCTGGTGACCCATGTCTTAGTGTTTGCCCTCCACAGCATACACAAATTAGCCTTAAGGACATTGTTTTGCCTGAATGCTCTGGGAGCTTCTGAGTGATACACCAATAAAGGCTTCACTTTGCAATCACCATTAGCATTGGCACACATCAGAAGAGTAAGCCTGTCTTTCATAGGCTTATGTCCTGGGAGTGCCTTTTCCTCCTGAGTAATGTAGGTCCTGCTTGGCAATTTCTTCCAAAACAGGCCTGTTTCATCGCAATTAAACACTTGTTCAGGTTTAAATTCTTCACTGTCTATGTAATCCTTGAATTCCTTCACATATTTTTCAGCTGCTTTTTGGTCCGAACTGGCAGCCTCACCATGCCTAATCACACTATGTATGCCACTACGATTCTTAAATCTTTCAAACCAACCTTTGCTGGCCTTAAATTCACTCACATTACCACTAGTTGCAGGCATTTTTTGAATTAAATCCTCATGCAACTTCCTAGCCTTTTCACATATGATCGCTTGAGAGATGCTATCTCCTGCTATCTGTTTTTCATTTATCCACACCAATAACAGTCTCTCAACATCTTCTAACATTTGCGATCTCTGTTTCAAAAACAGACATGCACCTTTTGCAAGAACAGCTTCCTTGATTGCCGTTTTCCTGGCCACTATAGTAGTGATGGTTGATTGGGGTTTGGTATACAACCTGGCCAGCTCTGACACACACACTCCACTTTCGTACTTTGCAATTATCTCTTTCTTCATTTCCATAGTAATTAGCACCCTTTTTCTTGCAGGGTTGGCACTAGAAGCTTTCTTGGGGCCCATGGTGACTTATTTTGCAGAAACAAGCACCAAAAACATTGTGATAATATGGAATGTACCGAATGTATGCTTAGATGCGAGCACACTGGCTGGCTTGTAAACATTGGCACACACAGGGCAGTTCAGGCCACACGTGGATGCGTCCAGGACGAATCGTGTGTGGTGGGTTTTTTAACGAGTGGCGAGGCAAAATTTTTGCATTAAAATGTATCGTATGCCGGATTTAACGTATACTGATGCCATCGAATGCCGGGAGTCCACTGTACAGGAGGGCCCTGCTTATACAGCAGGTTAGGTTCTGGGCTACTGCTGTAAAGTGAAACACAGCCTTTTTCCACATTCTAATGAATATAAAAGCCTGATAACATGTTTACACTATCATATATTAAGTGAGCAACAGAGCTAAAAAAAAAATTGCATACACAGTACACACATTACTTACCTTAAAATATTTTCATCCTTAGCTTATAGTGTGTGGTGAATATATTTGTCATAGGAAGTCAGAATAAATGAAGAATAGGTGTAACTGAAAACTGCTGCATTAGCGAAACACTGTAAAGTGAAGCACTGTAAAGTGGGGCCTGCCTGTATTTAAATTTTTAGTTTACTTCTCAAACAAACCTGAGAGATATTAGTTAAATGTATTATGTTATAAAAAAAATACCTCTCCTACATATCCAGTAGCATTAACATAGACTGGAGGATTGCTCCTTCTGCCATCTTCAGGAGGGTCCATCCCTCTATCCCGAGTAACCATTGCATCCAAATCTGTTTCTAGCCAGGTGCTGTGAGTTCTCCGTCTTGCAGGCACAGGTGCTGCTCCAACCATACCTGTTGGTGATGGTCGGATTTCTAGGCCAGGATTAGCTGATGTTAGTTTTTGGATCTGTAAAGGAAATAAAATTTGTGTATTAAATTTTGATTCAAATTATTGAGAAAAGTATGAATCCTGATATTAACTACAGATAAAATAACTGGCTGGACAATCACACTACTGGACAAAAATTCATAACTCCTCATTTTGTCCATACTGATAATGTTTGGCTGTCTTCTGAAGTATCGGGTTAAGTCTGCTAACTCTGGTGCTTGTCCAGTACGGGCCAAAGCAGCCACGTCCGGGACATGCCTGTTTTCATTGTTCTCTATGCCATAGGCCACCAGTTCCAGTTTGTGTGTGCTCACTCACATATATACTCTTTATTCAGTCTCTAATTTTCCTTGACTTTAAAGCATTTTATGTGACTTTATTAATGTATTAAATAAAATGCAATCAAAAATAGCTTCTAAAGCAAATGTTGGTGCCAAAAGAAAATGTATGGCTCTAAGTATTAAGAAGAAACTTTAATTAATGAGTCTAGCATCTTAGTGGCATGTGTGAGAAACATGGTGTTAAAAAACAGTGTGTGATATCTGTAGAGGAAAAGACAAACTTAGACGATGCTATTAAGTTTAATGTAGATGCTAGCAGTAAAGGTTCAAGAGTTGGTCAAAGAAAGAAGATTAAAGTGACCCATGATCATGGCAGCTCATACCTCCTCTCTCCACCATGAAAAGTTAAGTAAAATAACTGTAGTAGCCAGTAGTGCTATAGGCTACATCAGCAGACCAAGTCTACTACTTCAGAAGACAACCAGATGATTATGAAATATTAGTTTCATAATTCAGGAGATACAGACAATTGGCAATACTGTGCACCCCTCTCCCCCTATCAGTCCATTAATGAGAGGTTTTATTACAAAAAAAAAAGTATGTATGTGTAATTAAAATAAATATTATAACTGCATTTATGCTGATAAAGTTTACAGAAAAAAGGTAATTTTTATTCTATAATTTTTTTCATGCAGAGCATACCAGGAAAACTGTACAGTAGGGTTATTTTTTATTATTATTATTATCACACTGGCCGATTCCCACCAAGGCAGGGTGGCCCGAAAAAGAAAAACTTTCACCATCATTCACTCCATCACTGTCTTGCCAGAAGGGTGCTTTACACTACAGTAGGGTTATTATTGAAAGAATTAGAGGTAAGACGGAATGTAGGTTTGTGGATGAGCAAGGAGGTTTTAGAGTGGGTAGGGGATGTGTAGATCAAGTATTTACATTGAAACATATATTCTTTTTTCTTCTTTCAACGTACCAACCGTATCCCACTGAGGTGGGGTGGCCCAAAAAGAAAAACGAAAGTTTCTCTTTTTAAATTTAGTAATTTATACAGGAGAAGGGGTTACTAGCCCCTTGTTCCTGGCATTTTAGTCGCCTCTTACAACACGCATAGCTTACGGAGGAAGAATTCTGTTCCACTTCCCCATGGAGATAAGAGGAAATAAAAAGAACTAGTAAGAAAAATAAAGAAAACCCAGAGGGGTGTGTATATATATGCTTGTACATGTATGTATTCTTATTCTTTTTAGTAATTATTACAGGAAAAGGGGTTACTAGCCCATTGTTCCCGGAATTTTAGTTGACTTTTACAACACGCATGGATTACGGAGGAAAGATTCTTATTCCACTTCCCCATGGATATAAAAGGAAAAGTAATTAGAACAAGAACTAAGATAAAATCAAAGAAAACTCAGATGAGTGTGTATAAATAAACGTGTATAAATAAATATAAGTACAAGTAGAAGTACCTAGATAGTAGGTTGGTAGACAGCAACCGCCCAGGGAGGTGCTACCGTCCTGCCAAGTGAGGGTAAAATGAAAGCCTGTAATTGTTTTACATGATGGTAGGATTGCTGGTGTCTTTTTTTTCTGTCTCATAAACATGCAAGATTTCAGGTACGTCTTGCTACTTCTACTTACACTTAGGTCACACTACACATACATGTACAAGCATATAGTATATACACACCCCTCTGGGTTTTCTTCTATTTTCTTTCTAGTTCTTGTTCTTGTTTATTTCATCTTATCTCCATGGGGAAGTGGAACAGGATTCTTCCTCCGTAAGCCATGCGTGTTGTAAGAGGCAACTAAAATGCTAGGAGCAAGGGGCAGGTAACCTCTTCTCCTGTATATATTACTAAATGTAAAAGGAGAAACTTTGGTTTTTCCTTTTGGGCCACACCGCCTCGGTGGGATACGGCCGGTGTGTTGAAAGAAAGAAGTGAGGCTAAGTAGGTCTTAGACAGGGATGTGTAATGTCACCATGGTTGTTTAATATATTTATAGATGGGGTTGTAAAAGAAGTAAATGCTAGGGTGTTTGGGAGAGGGGTGGGATTAAATTATGGGGAATCAAATTCAAAATGGGAAGTGACACAGTTACTTTTTGCTGATGATATTGTGCTTATGGGAGATTCTAAAGAAAAATTGCAAAGGTTAGTGGGCGAATTTGGGTGTGTGTGTAAAAGTAGAAAGTTGAAAGTGAACATAGAAAACAGTAAGGTGATGAGAGTATCAAATGATTTAGATAAAGAAAAATTGGATATCAAATTGGGGAGGAGAAGTATGGAAGAAGTGAATGTTTTCAGATATTTGGGAGTTGACGTGTCAGCGGATGGATTTATGAAGGATGACGTTAATCATAGACTTGATGAAGGAAAAAAGGCGAGTGGTGCATTGAGGTATATGTGGAGACAAAAAACATTATCTATGGAGGCAAAGAAGGGAATGTATGAAAGTATAGTAGTACCAACACTCTTATATGGGTGTGAAGCTTGGGTTGTAAATGCTGCAGCGAGGAGGCAGTTGGAGGCAGTGGAGATTTCCTGTGTAAGGGCAATGTGTGGTGTAAATATTATGCAGAAAATTCAGAGTGTGGAAATTAGGAGAAGGTGTGGAGTTAATAAAAGTATTAGTCAGAGGGCTGAAGAGGGGTTGTTGAGGTGGTTTGGTCATTTAGAGAGAATGGATCAAAGTAGAATGACAGAGAGCGTATAAATCTGTAGGGGAAGGAAGGCGGGGTAGGGGTCATCCTTGAAAAGGTTGGAGAGAGGTGGTAAAGGAGGTTTTGTGGGTGAAGGGCTTGAGCAAGTGTGCGTGAGTGTGTTAGATAGGGGTGAATGGAGACGAATGGTATTTGGGACCTGACGAGCTGTTGGAGTGTGAGCAGGGTAATATTTAGTGAAGGGATTCAGGGAAATTGGTTATTTTTATATAGCCAGACTTGAGTCCTGGAAATGGGAAGCACAATGCCTGCACTTTAAACGAGAGGTTTGGGATGTTGGCAGTTTGGAGGGATATGTTGTGTATCTTCATACATATATGCTTCTAAACTGTTGTATTCTGAGGACCTCTGCAAAAACAGTGATTATGTGTGAGTGAGGTGAAAGTGTTTGAATGATGATGAAAGTATTTTCTTTTTGGAGATTTTCTTTCTTTTTGGGTATTTTCTTTCTTTTTGGGTCACCCTGCCCCAGTGGGATACGGCCAGTGTGTTGAAAGAAAAGAAAGAAATAGAAGTAGCAAGACGTACCTGTAATCTTGCATATTTATGAGACAGACAAAAGACACCAGCAATCCTAACATCAGGCTTTCGTTTTACACTCACTTGTCAGAACAGTAGTACCTCCCTGGGTGGTTGCTGTCTACCAACCTATTACCTATATGGATTTAGAAAAGGCATATGATAGAGTGGAGAGGGAAGCAATGTGGCTGATGTTGCAAGTAGTACAGTGGACCCTCGACCAGCGATGGCATCGATTAACGATAAATCTGACTAACAATACATTTTATCACAAAAATTTTGCCTCGATTAGCGCTAAAAAACTCGACCAACACTATTCGTTCCGTCTGAGACACGTCCACTTCTGGCCAGTGTTTACAAGCCAGCCAGCCACCGCGGTCGCTTCCAAGCGTACAATTGGAACATTTCATATTATCACAGCCTTTTTAGTGATTGCACCTGCAAAATAAGTCACCATGGGCCCCAAGAAAGCTTCTAGTGCCAACCCTACAGCAAAAAGGGTGAGAATTACTATGGATATGAAGAAAGAGATCATTACTAAGTATGAAAGTGGAGTGCGTGTCTCCAAGCTGGCCAGGCTGTACACAAAACCCCAATCAACCATTGCTACTATTGTGGCCAAGAAAACGGCAATCAAGGAAGCTGTTCTTGCCAAAGGTGCAACTATGTTTTCGAAACTGAGATCGCAAGTGATAGAAGATGTTGAGAGACTGTTATTGGTATGGATAAACGAAAAACAGATAGCAGGAGATAGCATCTCTCAAGCGATCATATGTGAAAAGGCTAGGAAGTTGCATGATGATTTAATTAGAAAAATGCCAGCAACTAGTGGTGATGTGAGTGAATTTAAGGCCAGCAAAGGTTGGTTTGAGAGATTTAAGAATCGTAGTGGCATACATAGTGTGGTAAGGCATGGTAAGGCTGCCAGTTTGGACCAAAAAGCAGCTGAAAAATATGTGCAGGAATTCAAGGAGTACATAGACAGTGAAGGACTGAAACCTGAACAACTGTTTAATGGTGACACTGACAATGCTGTGAAACACTTTAGGAATGTCATAAAGGAACGGGAGGTACAGGCCTCTATGGGCAGATATGTTGTGCGACAGAGGTCCAGTGACTCTCAAGCTGGTCCTAGTGGCATTAAAAGAAGAAGGGAAGTAACCCCGAAAAAGGACTTGCCACCTCCTGGTCACAGACCGGGCCGCGGGGGCGTTGACCCCCGGAACTCTCTCCAGGTAAACCTCAAGTCCTAATGGAAGGGGATTCCCCTTCTAAACACTAAGACCATCAACACACTCCCCTCTTCCCATCCCATCAATCATCACCAGATCTTCAATAAAGGTAAGTGTCATGTAACTGTGCATGTCTTCTTCAGTTTGTGTGTATTAAAATTAATATTTCATGTGTTAAAAAAAATTTTTTTCAATACTTTTAGGTGTCTTGCATGGATTAATTTGATTTCCATTATTTCTTATGGGGAAAATTAACTTGACTAACGATTATTTTGACTAACGATGAGCTCTCAGGAACGGATTAATAGCGTTAGTCGAGGGTCCACTGTATATGGAATAGGTGGTAAGTTACTAAATGCTGTAAAGAGTTTTTATGAGGATAGTGAGGCTAAGTAGGTCTTAGACAGGGATGTGTAATGTCACCATGGTTGTTTAATATATTTATAGATGGGGTTGTAAAAGAAGTAAATGCTAGGGTGTTCGGGAGAGGGGTGGGATTAAATTATGGGGAATTAAATACAAAATGGGAAGTGACACAGTTACTTTTTGCTGATGATATTGTGCTTATGGGAGATTCTAAAGAAAAATTGCAAAGGTTAGTGGGCGAATTTGGGTGTGTGTGTGTAAAAGTAGAAAGTTGAAAGTGAACATAGAAAAGAGTAAGGTGATGAGAGTATGAAATGATTTAGATAAAGAAAAATTGGATATCAAATTGGGGAGGAGAAGTATGGAAGAAGTGAATGTTTTCAGATATTTGGGAGTTGACGTGTCAGCGGATGGATTTATGAAGGATGACGTTAATCATAGAATTGATGAAGGAAAACAGGCGAATGGTGCATTGAGGTATATGTGGAGACAAAAAACATTATCTATGGAGGCAAAGGGAATGTATGAAAGTATAGTAGTACCAACACTCTTATATGGGTGTGAAGCTTGTGTTGTAAATGCTGCAGCGAGGAGGCAGTGGAGATTTCCTGTCTAAGTGCAATGTGTGGTGTAAATATTATGCAGAAAATTCAGAGTGTGGAAATTAGGAGAAGGTGTGGAGTTAATAAAAGTATTAGTCAGAGGGCTGAAGAGGGGTTGCTGAGGTGGTTTGGTCATTTAGAGAGGATGGATCAAAGTAGAATAACATGGAGAGCGTATAAATCTGTAAGGGAAGGAAGGTGGGGTAGGGAGGTTTTATGGGCGAGGGGCTTGGACTCTCAGCAAGCATGTGTGAGCGTGCTAGATAGGAGTGAATGGAGACGAATGGTATTTGGGACCTGATGAGCTGTTGGAGTGTGAGCAGAGTAATATTTAGTGAAGAGATTCAGGGAAACCGGTTATTTTTATATAGGCGGACTTGGGTATGTACTGGAAATGGGAAGTACAATGCCTGCACTTTAAAGGAGGGGTTTGGGATATTGGCAGTTTGGAGGGATATGTTGTGTATCTTTATACGTATATGATTCTAAATGTTCTCCATGGGGAAGTGGAACAGAATTCTTCCTCCGTAAGCCATGTGTGTTGTAAGAGGCGACTAAAATGTCGGGAGCAAGGGGCTAGTAACCTCTTCTCCTGTATATATTACTAAATGTAAAAAGAGAAACTTTCGTTTTTCCTTTTGGGCCACCCCGCCTCGGTGGGATACGGCCGGTGTGTTGAAAGAAGAAAGATTCTAAATGTTGTGATTTGGGCACCTCTGCAAAAACAGTGATTATGTATGAGTGAGGTGAAGTGTTAAATGATGATGAAAGTATCTTTTTGAGGATTTTCTTTCTTTTCGGGTCACCCTGCCTCGGTAGGAGACGGCCAACTTGTTATAAAAAAAAATACAAACACTTTAAAGAGGTCTTCTTAGTGGAAAGTAGAGCAATGCCAGAAGGCCCAAGAAAAAGAGTACATCATCAGGTACTGGACACTATGCACCCAACAAGGGTACAGGTATATTTAAACAAAGATGGAAGACAGCTGTTGAAGTTAAAAAAAATAATAACCCTATCCTAGTGGGAGATGGCCTTTTTTTTTTTTTAAATACTGGCAGTCTCCTACCAAGGAAGGGTGACCCAAAAAAGAAAACCCTTTCACTGTCATTCAGTTAATGGGTGTCTTGCTAGAAATGTGCTGACATCACAGTTCAGATGACCCTCTGAACTGCAACATTCTCAGCCCCTCCATAAGTGTGAAGGCACTATGCTTCCCACCTTCAGACTGTTGAAGTAATTATAAATAACTACGAATTGGTCAAATCACATTGAACATAAAGCCTAAGAGAATTTATTACCAAGCTGAGACTGTCATCCTTCCATCTTAAATCAATGAACACAGCTTTACTATCACACTCAAGATGATGAAACCCTTGAGATGGCCACATTTTCCTCACTGTGGTGAGTTATGAGATAGTCATATTTTTATTACATGCCTCAACTGGGCTGTCTTAATACTGATCAAAGGCTCTGGATCAGAGGAATTAAAACTACCCTTTCCTTTATTTAATTAAATCTGATTACCTCTCAGGCAGTATATAACACTAATGGGCTTAGCACTTCCCAATAATTATAATACAGTAATACTGATCTACCTAAGTCTCCAACCACATACTGTACAGCAAACTGACAGTGGCAAGAGCATCACATATTTTGAGAAATGTTTTATTTTGCATTTTATTATTAAAATTAATGACAATTACAGCCAAAAATGAAACCCTTTGCAGTCACCATTACCAACCTGATGACTAAGCTCAATTCTTCGCCTCTGAAGATCTTCTAACAGTGTCTGCACACGAACCATTTCTGCTTCAATGTGACGAGTTTCAGATGTGCCGCCAGATTCTCTCTGAGAATTACGGGCCATTGTCATCTGTATTTTTTGCCGTAACATCATCATTTCATGCTCAAGGCGGCTATTTTCAGCTGCAGTCTCTTCTAGTTTCTGTTCATGTTGAATGAAATTTTTTTAAATATCTTGAAGATAAAATAATGCTAATTTGCACTGTCAACATATCCCACAAATACGTAATAAGAACTGTTGACAACATAAAACATACTGTAAGCTATTTTTATACTCAAGTCTAATTGTGTCACTACATAATAATTTTCATATCCTCAAGACAATCATATTCTGACAACAGTATTTCATTCTTGGCCAAACAACTGAATCAAACATGCATTAGTAGTTTTTTCAGCACTCTCCTTGTTTCTAGTTAGATATGTATAGCTTGCGATGCATTGTGTTTAAGCTATAAAATTAAAAAAAAATTATGCTGCAAATTAATCCATAGTCTGAATCTCCTGACGTAGCTACTGATAAATCTACATTGAACAATCATGTTTAGGGATGCATTTAACAAAGACTACATTTATAATGTATTGTAGTACTAGAGCACGTTATTTTATATCTCTTGGATATGTATTAAGAGTTTGTTTTTGCTAAAATGCATGAATGTTATATTTTCAAAGAGAAAATAGGGACCACTAACTATATGAATGTCTTATACCTGAACACTTTTTTTTTTTTTTTTAGAAAATTATTAGTATTGCGTTACAATTGCACTGCTGGCTTTTAGTGCACCTACTGAATGTATTTATAAGTATTCATCAAAGTCAAATTATTAAGTTATCTGATCAAGTTACTCGTGTTATCTACAATTCCAAACTAAAATTAAAGCTGAACTCAAAGTACTGGTGCATTTTGTGTTTAAAGTTTTGATATAATTTTGGTTAAAATTATGAACAGCTCTTGGGTAGAACACGAAAAAATATTCATTGCCAACAAACGAACTCTGTGTAAAGAAAAATATAAATGAAGAAGAACATTTATTGCTTCTGTTAAGTAGGTATAAAATAATCTACATTCATTAATATATTGCTATGAGAGACTCACCCTTGCAGATACAGCAAGGTGAGCGCGGAGTTTGGAAAGCTCGTGTTCCAGATGTCGTCTCTGTTTCTTTCTGCGTTCAAGCTCTACTGGTCCTTCATTTGCACCGTGAGACTTGGAGTGGAGATTAACTAAGGTGCGCTCCAGCATCTCCTATGGTGGGGAGTCGATAAGCTTAGAAAAGCTCTTTTTTTAATACTACTAATGGCCAAAAAGATATGCCCACTACTTCCTTTTAAAACTGTTTCAACCAATTTTGAATACAATTTTACAAAACTCCCCATTGGAATCTGCTTTAGAAAACCTTGGAACATAACTAGTAACTGATATTAGTAAGCATTTGTATCTTTTCAGCTCATCAGTAATTATCTCACAATTTTATCCTACATTCTGGGTACTGAAGCTTCTGAATCACGAAAATGGCAATGAAGTATTTTGCAACCTAAATGCACAAAAAATACAGGGCCAAACTATAATAAAAGGCAAAACTAGGTGTCCTGTTTCACTTTTTTTTTGTGTTGACTTGTACAAAATTATCAATGTCTTACTTGTGCTATTTTTATTTTTACAGAATAATTGATTAAGGAATCTAAATAAGTAATACTAAATGCAGTCTGTGTCTTAAATATGTGCATGACAAACCATTAACAAAGTAATGCAAATTAAACAACACAGTAATGGTTATTATAAAACTATATTCAAAAGGGTTATATATTTAGTGATGTAACATCACAAAGCTTCTACACAGCTGCACCAAAAAGCACAAATCAGTCATTAAAAGCAACCAAAGACCATGCATTGCAACATGCTTCAGTGTTAATAAAAAATAATAGGCAAGCTTGTAAAATGAGGTGCAAGAACAGTAACTGGCATCTTGTAAAAGGGATAAGTCACTGCATGCAATTAATAACTTATTTTTAATTTTGAATCAATGAGGCAAATTTTATTATTCTCCATAAAATTTATATGTTAATGTATAGAAAGTACAATAAAATGTGCACACACACACACACACACACAGACATACATACTTTTAAATTAGTATTATTTATAGAGAGTATACGGTATGAATGCACCACTTTCCTAATAAGTGGTAGGTATAAAAATCTAAAGTATGCACAACCTAAAGTAATCAAAACACTACTTTTCCTGAACATAAACAATTCATCTTAAAGTTAATTACTGTAAGTCACACTTGGCATGCAACAGGAACTTTTTAACCCTTTCAGTGTCGGTCCCGTTGTTCAATGGCTTTGAAGCCAGTGTTGGTCCTGTAGTACTACCCCATGAGCTCAGCTCACTCAAATAAGCTGTGAGTGGTAAATTTGGGTCTAGATATGAGAGAATGAGTCTTTGCAGTAAGTGTGCACCATACAGAAAAAATCCTGCAGCACGAAGCTGGTTTGAAACAGCAACTCTGCAGTTTATTTTTGAATGGTTTATGGTTATATTTTCAATTTCTTGGTCTCATTTGATAGAATGGAAGATATATTTCCAAAACAGAGATGATTTCGATTGGTTTCAAGACTGAAAGTAGCTTGAAACTGAGCTCAAAGTAATGGAAATGTTCGATTTTTGCCGATATTCCAGAGTACACAAATGATGTCACTTGTCATATACACATAATCAAATGGCCAGTCTGATACATTTAGGAATGCACTGACATTATACAATTACAATACAGCCTCTCCTCACTTAACAACAGAGTTCCCTTCCTAAGACCACGTCGTTAAACGAATTCGTTGCTAAGTGAGGAGCATACTATAATGGTAGTGAGTTTGTGTCAGCCATCTTTGATATTGTTTTAATGTCATCTTTGCACCATTTATAACTTTTCTGGGATATTTTTAAATGTTTATAGTGTACTATATATTGAAATAAACAGAATAGAGAAAATCAGCTCTAATATTTAGGCAAGAATACTGTAAGAATACAGTAATACTTGTAAGTCTGAGGTGTCAGTAAATGAGTACGTTGCTAAGTGAAGAGAGGCTGTAATTTTTTTTAACACGCCAGCTGTCTCTCGAGGTAGGGTGACTAAAAAAGAAACAAACACTTCCACCATCATTCACACAATCACTGTCTTTGCAAAGGTACCCAGATATGATAGTTTAGATATCACTCCAAACAGTCAATATCCCAAACCTCTCCTTTAAAGTGCAGGCATTGTGCTTCCCACCTCTAGGACTCAAGTCCAGCTAATAATACAATAATGCAGTAGTCTGCATAACAGTAAATCTTCTATTTTTTTGTATGAATAAAAAAATTCAAAATGGAAAGCAAGCATAATATAAGAGGGGCCTGGAGACATGACTAAGAAACAGAGGATTTTTTTTTTTTTTTGTGCCAGGAATGTTTACATTGTTTATTCTAGACCCTATTTTTAAATTGGCAATTTTTTTATTTTGTGTGAATGGCTAAATTACCGATTCCTGATGACTTTACTGGGTAGTTGAAACAGGTAAACTAGTGGTGTCTCGTATTCAATCGACAGAATAGAAGGAAAAACTAGCGAAATAGCTACAAGTTTGGTCGAATGGAACAATAAGGCGCAAAGTGGGCGAAACTGCCGATGCGTTGCAAGAACATAATTCCGTAAGTTTTCCATCAAATTTTGTACTTTTGGTTTCATTACGTTCGGAAAAAGATTCTCTATCATTTCATAAGATAAAATAATTTTTTTTTTAAATTCTTCGACCTTAAGAGGAACTTTGAGATCAGGGGTCTCAACCCTGAAAGGGTTAATACAGCTTATTGGAGAACACTCAAAAAAAGAACAGGCAAAACATTTTGAAACAAACTTTAAAGGATAATGTCATGAATGGGTAGGACAGCAGAGAATTCAGAAAACAAGATATAGTGTATGCTCATAAGTCTCATAAAAACACTGATCAATGAACAGGTAAATAACACGTGGGAGAAAAATCAAATGCAGGATAGAAAGGATATGTATATTTTGGACATTTAGGAGCCTCTTCATCAGAGGGGCAGTCCTTTATCGAGTCCAAAATAATGTACATGACTTATTTCTACTGTGTTTGATTTTCTGTCCGTGTGCGATTTACCTATGCTCATAAGTTTTAGCATAGCTTTATGAGAAAAGATTATTTTTCACATTGCATTTCTTGACTAATTCAGCTTGCACATACTTTATCAGTTTATTACAATTCATTAGAATAATTAAAATAAAGATTAAGTGAAATTTAATTAGCTTGAGAATCTATCAGGCCAGCCTGGTGCTCCTGAATTCCCTGAAAATCCTATTTACACTTTACAAAATAACAACAATAAAAATAAACAATCAGAACACAAGAGTGAAATTACCCAGTGTCCAGTGCAAAATTATTTAAAGATACTCTGAGATATGGAAAAGTTTTTAAATATGATCTTGGTACAAATTAGCTTTGGTAATTCACCTCTGTCTAATCTGATACTGTACTGTACTAACTACAGTATGCAGTAGACCATCAGTTAATGAAATCTGTTAACACCTTTCTGTTAACACAGTTCAAAATTACAGCATATTTTCAATGAACATGCCATATTAATCAGTTTAAATGGCAGAGTACTGTACATGTAACAGGAAACTGTGACACACGCCAGGTTTTTTCTTCTCCATCTGGCTGTGAGACACCTGCGGGCAAGTCCACTGTCCTACAGGGAAGGCCTACTTAATGTACAACCCCCTTGCTAGTGCTCCAGCTGTAAGTGTCCAATACCATACCTCACCACACATCTCTGTTATACCACTTGCCTCCAACCATTCCCTGCTGCACACCCAGCTCCCACTCTTACCCTCTTCCAGGGCCACACACCCTTGCTGCCTCACTCATATCACCTACCCCATAATTTCCCAAAAGCCACATGCCTTCACCTACACCATTCCAACCAGCAACCTCCATTCATCACACAGTTCCCCTATGGAAAAATGCCTTCACTTACACCATCCCAAACAGCACCCTCCACCCTACACAAAGTACCCATACAATTTTCCCCATGGCCATATGTCTACACCTAAAGCATTCCCACAGTCACGACGACGACGACGCTGCTGCTGTCAATTAACACCCAGGTACCCACTTTACTAATGGGTGAACATTGGACAGCAGGTATCTCAAGGAAACATATCCTAGTGTTTCCTTGAGATACAGGAATCAACCTCTCGACCACAGTGTGTGAGCTGAGTGCACTAGTAATCGAGCTATGGGATACCCATTCCCCCAGACTCCTACAGCCTGAAGACCACACCTTGCCCAACCCCACACCTTCACCCACACCTTATTGGACCTTTCATCCTACCACACTGTCTGTACACTTAATTACTTAAGTCACCTACCACACTAATTACTGTCCATACCAACCATATCACCCATCATCCACACAACAACTTGCACAGGGCCACTGACACAACTACACCTTTCACCCACGCCACTCCTACATGGCCTCCACCTATAACACTCCCCCACAGCCCACTCCCACACATTACCCATGCTTTCATAGCCCACACACTCTAATACACTGTCCACACACCTAGTCATGTAGTCACCCACCACCCTCATTACTGCTCACACCACCAACTGCACACTCACCCACACAGTCATCCATCATCCACACTGGACTACTGTTACTGCCACCCACACGATCACCATTACACCACCTCATTACTTCCCACCTCCACCCTCCACTGCCTGGCATCTTCCACCTGCTAACACCAGCCTCCACTGCTTGGTCTCCACCTCCTAAGCCAGTAGTTCCCTAATTCCCATCCCCCACACTGAACCCCTTCTCTTTAACCACTATAACCCCTCCTTTGTACATCCTAACTCCCAGTGCCCCATGGCCTGGTGGCTAAAGCTCTTGCTTCACACAGCGAGGGTCTGGGTTCGATTCCCAGTGAGGGTAGAAACACTGGTTGTCTATATTCACCCATCAGTAAAATGGGCACCTGAGAGTTAGTCGACTGGTGTGGGTCGCATCCTGGGACAAAACTTACCTAATTTGCCTGAAATGCTCTGCATAACAAGCGGCTTTCTATATACAGTGGTACTAGGATTAAGTGGTACCTGGTACCACTTACTCCTCACATACGTAATGACATATTTTATTCATTATAGAGCACATATCATGTTTCTATGTTATTAATATTGTTTGTTATGTCATACTAGATGAATTGTGATAGATAAATAAGCTGTGGAACATAGTTATTCTCTATAAAATGTATTTTTTGTTTATACTTTTGGGTGTCTGAAACAGATTAATTGGATTTACATTATTTCTTATGGGGAAAATGGTTTCAGATTTTGTGAATTTCACATTTCGTCAGACTCTCTGGAATGGATTAATCATATTGCACTTTAAGCTGTTTAAAATTTAATACTTCTGCTTCTTTCAACAAACCAGCCGTATCCCACCGAGGCAGGGTGGCCCAAAATGAAAAACAAAAGTTTCTCTTTTTAACCTCAGTAATATATACAGGAGAAGGGGTTACTAGTCTCTTGCTCCCGGCATTTTAGTCGCCTCTTACGACACCAATGGTGTGAATTCTGTTCCACTTCCCCGTGGAGATAAGAGGAAATAAACAAGGACAAGAACTAGTAAGAAAAATAGAAGAAAACTCAGAGGGGTGTGTATATATATATATGCTTGTACATGCATGTGCATTGTGACGTAAGTGTAAGTAGAAGTAGCAAGACACACCTGAAACCTTGAATGTTTACGAGACAGAAAAATGGCACCAGCAATCCTACCATCATGTAAAACAATTACAGGGTTCCATTTTACACTCACTTGGCAGGACAGTAGTACCTCCCTGGGCGGTTGCTGTCTACCAACCTACTACCTTGAATTTTTTTTTTTTTTTTCAACAAGTTGGCAGTCTCCCACTGAGGCAGGGTGACCCAAAAAGAAAGAAAATCCCCAAAAAGAAAATACTTTCATCATTCAACATTTTCACCTCACTCACAATAATCACTGTCTTTGCAGAGGCACCCAGATATGACAGTTTAGAAGCATATATAACATACCCTTCCAAACTGCCAATATCCCAAACCCCTCCTTTAAAGTGCAGGCATTGTACTTCACACTTCCAGTACTAAAGTCTGGCTATATAAAAATAACCGGTGTCCCTGAATCCCTTCACTAAATATTACCCTGCTCACACTCCAACAGCTCATCAGGTCCCAAAAAACATTCGTCTCCATTCACTCCTATCGAACATGCTCACACGTGTTTGCTGGGAGTCCAAGCCCCTCACACACAAAACCTCCTTTACCCCCTCCCTCCAACCTTTTCGAGGACAACCCCTACTCTGCCTTCCTTCCCCTACAGATTTATACGCTCTCCAAGTCATTCTACTTTGATCCATTCTCTCTAAATGACCAAACCACCTCAACAACCCCTCTTCAGCCCTCTGACTAATACTTTTAGTAACTCCAGACCTCCTCCTAATTTCCACACTCCAAATTCTCTGCATAACATTTACACCATACACTGCCCTTAGACAGGATATCTCCACTGCCTCCAGCTGCCGCCTTCCTGCAGCATTTACAACTCAAGCTTCATACCCTTATAAGTGTGTTGGTACCACTATACTTTCATACATTCTCTTCTTTGCCTCCATGGATAACCTCTTTTTTTTACTAAAATTTAATACATTGTAATTAATTAACCATACCCTAATTCAAGTTTGTCAGTTTACAAAACAAAATAAACTGAATAATTTTTGGGGGGGCTTATATATCTTTCCGATACAGGAAACTGTTCCACATCCTAATACACAAGTTCCTCAGTTTATACCAATCCTCTTCTAGAAATTATTGTAGGCAGTTCCTACTGGATTATACAGTATTGCTGTGGCATATTTACAAAACTGGATATCCAAGATCATTTCAATAAACTCTACTCCCATATCAAACAGAGGTTTATCTCAAAATCTGCTGCTTTGTTGCACTTTATAAGGCTTATTTACCCATAAACATATTAAGGAAATAAAGTCTCATACATAACTCAAAGATAAAGACAGCATATTTACAGGTAAATATTGAAGCAGAAGTGTTGAGGTGAAGAGTCACTGCTAGCTACCAGTAATGAGATAAATTCAGTGCTTCAGACAATACATTACTTTAAGGATATTTCAACAGGGTTGGCTTCTTTTAATACAGGCTACCGTGTTGAAAACCCTTGAAGTGTCTGCACTGCCCAGTAACCTCGCATGTAATGAACACAAAGCACCAAAGGAGACCCAGAATCTAACAAAGATAATCTTCTGATACCCAAAAGAGGAAGAGTTAAAGATCCTGTCAATCTAAAAATGAAGGATGTACTATATTCGAACCTTCTCTCTCTGCAAGCTCTGTATGGTCAGTGATTCTTGATGTAGGTTCTTGTCCAACTTATACAATTGCATCACTTTTCCCTGCAAGTTTAATGTTACTGAATGATATTTTTCTTGATAGGCAAATGTTGTAGCAAATAAAGTAACCTTTTTTTTTTAATGAAAATCTGCTTATTTAATCACAACACACATACACACACCACATAATGACTCTCTGTAAAACTATGTGAAAATTTTGTTACAAAACTTATACAAATAATAAAATGTGGAACTAAATGTTCAACTCATTATATACACTCAAATCTCCTCATTAAACCTCAGATACAATAAGCAGCTATACAGACTATGTATAACTCGTTTTTTTTTTTTTTTTAAGAAAATTACTGGAAACTCTGCTTAATTATCATAAGGCTCCCTCGACAGCATCATACCATACAGATGTAGGAAAATATCTTCAGAGAAAAAATTAAAATATAAATTTCAACTGATTCTAATAAGTTCAGAATTTTTATTGCCATTAATTTTCAGAAAAAAAAAAAAGCATTCCTGCAGTGAGAAAATTAAAAAATTAAAGGTGATGGAAAAACTAAGTGCACAGTGCAATTATACATCAAAAAGTACATACAATTTATATATACCAAGTCTGCATTAACTTTCCCATTTTTTCTGAGATATATTAAGAGATTTGATGGGGAATGCAGTGACAACACCAGCCATTCATATATGGCAAGCAAGAATGAGAGTGGCTTTCCTGCACCTACCTCCAGATCAGCCTGATCTGCTGCTGCCAATTCATATTCTTGCAGCTGTAAATCTTCAGCTACTATTCTTCGTTCTTGTATTCTCCTAGAGAACTGAAGTGAATCATATCCATTTGCCTGTCAAGATAATAAAATTTTAAGTATAACATTTTATTCAATAATTTATATAAGTATCATCAGTTGATTGCAAAATAATGATAATGCTTACAGGGTGTAAGAGGAAGGTATTTTTCATGACAGATTAACAATTTAAAATTAATGGTTATTTACATTACTTGTTCAACAACAATGGATTGATAGTACTGATACATAACATGTGAAATATGATATTCCTTCAGGCCATCCTAGGAGTGAGCAATGCACAGTCACTGACTAGAACTTACTTCATCTATGCATATCCTGGGTTAAACATAACATGCTTCATCTTAGCATGCTGCAAGGTATCCTCATGTATCATAAGCCAGATTTAAAATACTGTAGTTAATATTAATAACTCACTCAGAATAGTTTGTGTGAAGGCACTGTCTATCAGACCATTACCTCAATGAAATATACACACTGGTTCATCAGATCAAACCTAACAAAGAAATTACGTCAATGGAGGTGTGTGGACTCCATAGAGTTCTAGTGTGATACAGCTTCATCCATCATCCAGTAGTGTTGAAAAAATACACTAGTATAGTCAAAATATAACATGAGGTGCAAAAAACTATACTGTATACCAACACATGGCATTAGAATTTGAATACTTACAGTATGTATGTATGTATGTATGTATGTATGTATGTATGTATGTATGCATGTAAGGAATTGCCTACACGCTTTTGCAAAATCCGTGTATACCACATCTACATCTTGGTTGTCTTCCAATGCTTCCGTTATTCTGTCATAGTGGTTTAGCAGTGGTGGCATGCATGATCTCCCTGATCTAAAATAAAACCACGCTGAGTTAGGCTGTGCAGATTGTGCTGTTCCAAAAAATTTCTAATTTGGCATCTTGTCACCTTTTCGAAGGCTATGATGTGAGATGTTAGGCTACTGACCATACCACGGCCGGGGATAGAACCGGTGATCAGAGAGTCTCAAAACTCCAGACCGTCGTGTTAGCCACTGGGTTCTATCCCCGTCCATGGTATGGTTTGTTTGCAGTCATGTCATTACGATTTCATGAGTCGTGTTAGGCTACTGGTCTGTAATTTTGCGGTAGTGCTCTACTGCCTCCTTTATTAAAGCAAAGGAACTATAGCGCCTGCATTCTTTAAGGTCTTGAATTTCACTTAGATCTAAACTCTTTCTCCAAAGGATACCAAGAGCACAACTCAGTACAACTGTCATCTTATGCTACTCTTCAAAAAATCTGGAGTAAAAAAAATATTCTCTCTTGTCCTTCTCTACATTAGGGAGCAGGGGTGCTTCTCTTGCTGGTGCTAACTGAGCTATGCAAATATGATTTATTTTCCCCTTTTGACTTAAATTCTCATTTAAAGTTAAAACATCCTGGGTGTGCTCATGGATGCTCAATGAACTATGTAACAAAGGAAATGAATATATCAAACAGCTAAAATGAGTTCACGGAAGTCAAAGGAAACCAGTATAGAGGGTAGATACGGGTATTTGTGTTTATCTTTTCAATGTCGTTTTTTGGAAATGTTCAGTTACAACAAAAGGTTTGTTGTGTTCATAAAAAAAGTTAATATAAATAAAGCAAAAATAACTACTGGAGTACAGTGAACCTTCAATTCAATGGACTAATAGGAAAAAAAGGTATCTTAAATCCGAATGTTCTTTTTCCATGATTTGTAACAGACAATTCTGGATTTAATAGACTCTGCTCATTAAATCCAGAGTTATCATTTACAATAACTGACAATTTCAATTTACTGGGCTCTGATAAATCCAAAATCAATCTACCCAGCTGACCATGACCATAATGAACACTTCTGGATCTGATGGGCTTCGTCCGTTCTTTCCTAATGTTGTCCAGCCACAGATTTTGCACATTAAATCCGTTAAATCACTGCAACAATGGATCTAGTTGAACCTTTAGAATACAGTACCGAACTTACAATCAGAGAGACTTCAGTATAAAAGAATTTTAAGAGCTTTTCAAGTTTATGGCCAATGTTTCTTAAAATCAGCAACAACTCTGACACACCTGATAGTATGAGCGCGGTCTCCTTGGGTCGTGTTGAGCATTAAGTCTAGAGTCTCCTCCTCGGTACAGTGACCCAAGCTTGACCATGTTGTCCACTAGGTTGATCAATGGTTTACCCATTTCATACTGCTTAGGTAGGAGAATTTGTTAGAAATAAGCCACAGCACAGTACATCCATAGTTTATAATACTACAGTATATACATAAAACAGAAGTAAAACTCCTTTTCTATTTAAATTGCAACTGATCATTAGGATTGCTTAAAAAAGTTAATTGGGAAATGATTATCCCATGATTTCAAAAAATGCATTACCATAATAAAAGGATATAGCAATAAACACTATGATGGGTACAGAATTTATGAAGATAGTTTTGCTTAACAAGACATGAGAATGCTTGTATAGTGTAAGATAACAGTTAAAAATGTTCTAGAGATCGCGATTTCATTTTGAGGTCTGGTTAAGGAGGGAGTATGAAAAGGTGGAGAAAGGTAGGAAGGGCAGGAGTGGGGAAAGGGGAGGAAGGAGTGAAGAAAGGGAGAGAGGGAGTCATGGCAACAAAGATGGTAGGGAGTGGTGAGAGGAAGGGAACAAAGATAATGTAGGAGGCAATTCTACCAACATTTATACAACAAAGATAGTGTAGGAGGAGGATGGGAAAGGGCAATGTAATGGACAGTGGACAGCGCTATATGACCCTTGTGGGTTTAGCACTTTATAACTGTAATAATAATATGGAAATTGAAGAAGGCATGGGGTGGCAGGTGCTTGGTATAACATCTACCCTCAGCTTCTTGTCTGCTACAAGAGTTGGCTTCCTCTCAGGTGATGAACATTCACATTCTGACATCTACCAGCCTCATGACTGCACTTGTTGGAGTCGAATTCCAGAAGCTATTTAACAGAGTATTCCTGTAGTTCATCCACTGCTCTTGTATACTTTCCATTACTAAAATGTGACATTTAAGTGCATTTATCCTCTAGTAGGTTGTTGTTTACTTGGGGAGAGGGAGGAAGTGATCTTGTAAATAAAGTCAGGAACCCTAAACCTAAAATTGCAAAACCCCGTGTAAAAAAAGGATGGGTATGGGTGCATAATAAAACTATCGAACTAAACATCTACTGAGGAGACTTTCATGTTTATTTTAGTATAGTTTGCTTTCAAAATGAGACAGTAAAGGTGCCAAGATCACGCCCTGGAGCACTGAACTTTTTACTAAGACCAACTTTTGTTTTATCCATTACTAGCATGTTACACATGTCAAAAAAAAATGTATATCAATTTTCATACTTTCCCTGTTATACCTATGACTTGGAGGGTGATCGAGATAACATTTATTTATGAAGGGATTCTGGGCAACAGGTTAGCCGGACTCAAGTCCTGGAGATGGGAAGTACAGTGCCTGCACTCTGAAAGAGGGGTAGGAATACCGCAATTTGGAGAGACATCTAAGTTGTAATGTCGGCGCTTTTCGTGTCACTCTACCTTGGTGGAAGATGTTTTATGTTAAAAGAAATCTGATTTGACTGCTTTTGTTGGTGACCTTATCTGTATTTGTGAACATGTCTCTTGATAACAAAAAAGGCACAATACTGTGACTGGAACAATACACAAATAACCCGCACATAGAAGAGAGGAGCTTACGACGACGTTTCGGTCCGACTTGGACCATTTACAAAGTCACACTAACCAGAAGTGGAGCAGGATGGCTATATATAGGCAGGAAGAGGTAGTGGTGGAAGTAGTAGTAGTAGTAGTAGTAGTAGTGGTGGTGGTGGTGGTGGTGGTGGTGGTGTAGTAGTAGTAGTAGTAGTAGTAGTAGTAGTAAGGAAGATAGTAAGGAGGAGGAGCCAGTCAAATACTAAGAAAGAGAAACACTGCAAGGGAGCTAGGTGCCCACAGAGGGTAAGAGCAAGAACACATAGGGGGGGGGGATAAAATAAATAATGAAGAAACAAATACACAAGGCAGAAGACAGACAACTGCCTGTGTATTTGTTCCTTCATTATTTATTTTACCCCCCCCCCCGCCTCTGTGTTCTTGCTCTTACCCTCTGTGGGCACCTAGCTCCCTTGCAGTGCTTCTCTTAGTATTTGACTGGCTCCTCCTCCTTACTATCTTCCCCACTACTACTACCCTTTACCTCCACTACTACTACTACCACCTCCTGCCTATATATACCCCTCCTCTCCTTTTCGTTAATGTGACTTCGTAAATGGTTCAAGTCGGACCGAAACGTCGTCGTAAGCTCCTCTCTTCTATCTGCAGGTTATTTGTGCATGTCTCCTGATACTTGTTCTGCTCTATCACTTGACCCTCTGGTCTAAGTAGTGAGGATTTATTGGGAGAGACAAGGAAACAGATGGTGTGGAGGGGAAGAAATAAAGTGGTGGGTGGGACGGCAGAAGGTAGTGAGGACGATGTGAGGGAATGCACTGTTGGGCACAGGGGACTTTTGGATAGGAGAGGCGGATGGGTTTCTATATGGTATGTGGTTGGGTTTCAGTAGTTGCATGCTAATTTTTTCCTGGGCTGTGGAGTAAGGAAATCCTGGGAGAGTTTTGACGTGCATGTGCGTTTGTGAAAACAATGACTAGGATAGGAGCATGTATACATGAAATGTCGAAACAGAATCTTTGGCCCTATTTGAGTGTGAATATAACAGGTTTGCGAAGGTCAGGTATTAAAAGGTATGCATATATAAATCAACATATGTAAAAGAAAATTGCCATGTATGGTTGGCATATTTATGAATTTAGGTTCAGTGGTTCATTCTCATTCGCTCTCTCTCTCTCTCTCTCTCTCACACACACACACACACACACACACACACACACACACACACACACACACACACACACACACACACACACACACACACACACACAGACACACAGGGACAGAGGGAACAGAGGGGGTGGAGGAGTGGCATTGCTGGTCAAAAAACGATAGGATTTTCATGAGCTCTAGAGAGGAGACAATGGAGAAGCAGTCTGGAGGTCCCAAGGTGGTAATTGCAGTGATGTATAACCCACCACAGAACAACAGGAGGCCAAGGCAAGAGTATGATGAGAGTAATAGAGCGATGGTTGACACAATGGCTGAAGTGGCAAGGGATAAATGCGAGCAGGGCAAAGCTACTGCTGATCACTGGTGACTTCAACCACAAGGAAATTGATTGGGAGAACTTGGAGCCACATGGGGGCCAAGAAACGTGGAGGGCTAAGATGATGGAGGTGGTACTGGAAAACTTCATGCACCAACACGTAAGGGACACTACCAGAGAGAGAGAGAGAAGAGGATGAACCAGCGAAACTGGATCTAGTATTCACCTTGAGTAGTGTAGCTATTGAGGATATCACATATGATAGACCCCTTGCGGCCAGCAATCATGTGGTTTTAAGATTCGAATACACAGAAGAGTTACAAGTGGAGGGGGGAGCACGAAGAGTCAGACGAATGAAGCCAAACTACAAGGAGGACCATGCGGGAATGAAGAACTTCCTAAATGGGGTTCAGTGGGACAGAGAACTGGCGGGGAAGTCAGTAAACGAGATGATGGAATACGTGACAACAATATGCAAGGAAGCTGAGGAGAGGTTTGTACCCAAGGGTAACAGGAATAATGAAAAAGCCAAGATGAGCCGGTGGTTCACCCAAAGATGCAGGGAGGCCAAAACCAAGTGTGCTAGGGAATGGAAGAAGTATAGAAGGCAAAGGACCCAGGGAAATAAGGAGAGCAGTAGTAGAGCCAGAAATGAATATGCACAGGTAAGAAGGGAGGTCTGACGACATTACGAAAATGACATAGCAGTGAAAGCCAAATCTGACCCGAAGCTGTTGTATAGCCACATCAGGAGGACAACACCAGTCAAGGACCAGGTAATCAGGCTAAGGAAGGAAGGTGGAGAGATCACAAGAAATGGCCGAGAAGTATGTGAGGAACTCAACATGAGATTCAAAGAAGTGTTCACAGAGGAGACAGAAGGGACTTCAGAAAGACAGAGAGGTGGGGTACACCACCAAGTGTTGGACACAATACATACAACTGAGGAAGAAGTGAAGAGGCTGCTGGGCGAGCTAGACACCTCAAAGGCGATGGGACCGGATAACATCTCTCCATGGGTCCTGAGGGTGCAGAGATGCTGTGTGTACCCCTAACAACAATATTCAACACATCTATCGAAACAGGGATATTACCTGAGGTATGGAAGACAGCAAATGTGGTCCCAAGTCTTAAAAAAGGAGACAGACAAGAAGCATTAAACTCTAGACCAGTGTAACTGACGTGTATAGTATGCAAAGTCATGTTGAAGATTATCAGAAGAGTGGTGAAACACCTAGAAAGAAATGAGCTTATCAATAGCCAATACGGTTTCAGGGACAGGAAATCCTGTCACAAACCTACTGCAGTTCTATGCCAGGGTGACAGCAGTAATACAAGGGAGAGAGGGGTGGGTAGATTGCATTTTCTTGGACTATAAGAAGGCGTGTGACACAGTTCCACACGAGAGATTAGTGCAAAAGTTGGAGGACCAGGCAGGGATAACAGGGAAGGCACTACAATGGATCAGGGAATACCTGTCAGGAAGACAGTAGCATGTCATGGTACGTGGCAAGGTGTCAGAGTGGGCGTCTGTGACGAGTGAGGTTCCACAGGGGTCAGTCCTAGGACCGGTGCTGTTTCTGGTATTTGTGAACGACATGACGGAAGGAACAGACTCTGAAGTGTCCCTGTTTGCAGATGATGTGAAGTTGATGAGAAGAATTCAGTCGGACGAGGACCAGGTAGAACTGCAAAGGGATCTGGAAAGGCTGCAGGCCTGGTCCAGCAATTGGCTCCTGGAGTTCAACCCCACCAAGTGCAAAGTCATGAAGACTGGGGAAGGGCAAAGAAGACCGCAGACGGAGTACAGTCTAGGAGGGCCAGAGACTACAAACCTCACTCAAGGAAAAAGATCTTGGGGTGAGTATAACACAAGGCACATCTCCTGAGATGCACATCAACCAATTACTGCTGCAGCACATGGGCGCCTAGTAAACCTCAGAACAGCATTCCGCCATCTTAATAAAGAATCGTTCAAGACCCTGAACATCGTGTACGTTAGGCCCATATTGGAGTATGAGGCACCAGTTTGGAACCCACATCTAGCTAAGCATGTAAAGAAACTAAAAAAAGTGTAAAGGTTTGCAACAAGACTATTCCCAGAGCTAAGGGGTCTGTCCTGCGAGGAGAGGCTAAGAGAAATCGACCTGACGACACTGGAGGACAGGAGAGATGGGAGGGGGGGACATGATAACGACATACAAAATACTGAGAGGAACTGACAAGGTGGATAGAGACAGAATGTTCCAGAGACTGGACACAGCAACAAGGGGACACAGTTGGAAGCTGAAGACCCAGATGAATCACAGGGATGTTAGGAAGTATTTCTTCAGTCACAGAGTAGTCAGGAAGTGGAATAGCTTGGGAAGCGATGTAGTGGAGGCAGGATCCATTCACAGCTTTAAGCAGAGGTATGATAAAGCTCACGGTGCAGGGAGTGATCCAGTAGCGGCCAGTGAAGAGGCGGGGCCAGGAGCTATGAGCTATGACTCTACCCCTGCAACCACAACTAGGTGGGCAACAAACACAAACAAACAAACAAACAAACAAACACACACACACGTATCGTGCTGAATAAGTAAAACTTGCGATTTTGGCTTAAATAGCAATGCACTTCTTGCCGAATAGGGCAAGCGAAACTTAACGAAAAAATACATTTCATTGTGTTTGTTTGTTTATTATTAAATTATTGTAAACTTATATACAATATATTTAGTTGGATTAAGATAAATTAAATTGCGCTTGTTATAATAAGGTTAGGTAACTTTCCTAAGGTTCTTTTGGTACAAAATCATTAATTGTTATATTAACATAAATGAAAAAATATATTTTTATATGTATAAAGATATATTTTTTTTTAATCTGTGCTAATGTAAAAATTAATTTTGTACCAAAAGAACTTAGAAACCTTACCTAACCTAAACAAAAAAATTGGCTATAACTAATCAAAATTTTTAAAGGGGTGGACCAGTAAGCCAGCGGAAAGCCTCTGTCAGATGACCAAAAGCTTCAACGGAGGGTCATCATGTAAGACCCGCGTCAGTAAACACTTGTACTGTTTCCTGACGAACCTAACCTACCTAACTTTATTATAACTAACTGCAATTTAATTTGGCCTAATCCAATTATATATATTTTAAGTAAGTTTAGAATAATTTAATAATAAACAAACACAATGAAATTATTTTTTTTCTCGTTAAGTTCAGAATGTTTTTTGCGAAATTGTTATATACACAAATTTTAGCTTGCCGTATTCGAAAAGGGTAGCGTTGCTGTTTATGCCAAAATAGCAAGTTTTACCTATTCGGCACGATATACGTAATATATATATATATATATATATATATATATATATATATATATATATATATATATATATATATATATATATATATATATATATATATACGTATGTAGGTAGTAGGTTGGTAGACAGCAACCGCCCAGGGAGGTACTACCGTCCTGCCAAGCGAGTGTAAAACAGAAGCCTGTAATTGTTTTACATGATGGTAGGATTGCTGGTGTCTTTTTTTTTCTGTCTCATGAACATGCAAGGTTTCAGGTACGTCTTGCTACTTCTACTTACACTTAGGTCACACTACATATACATGTACAAGCATAAAGTATATACACACCCCTCTGGGGTTTCTTCTATTTTCTTACTAGTTCTTGTTCTTGTTTATTTCCTCTTACTTCCATGGGGAAGTGGAACAGAATTCTTCCTCCGTAAGCCATGCGTGTTGTAAGAAGCGACTAAAATGCCGGGAGCAAGGGGCTAGTAACTCCTTTTCCCGCATAAATTACTACTAAATTTGAAAAGAGAAACTTTCGTTTTTCTTTCTGAGCCACCCCGCCTCGGTGTGATACGGCCGGTGTGTTGAAAGAAAGAATATATATATATATATATATATATATATATATATATATATATATATATATATATATATATAATGTTTATATGAACATGCCAATGAACAGAATTTGCTCTACTACATCCATCATGACATAGATAATCACAACAGGAAATTGGATCATTACGTGACTGTGGAAGGGCACACTCTTTGCAAGAATAAACTTGTACAAGAGTAAATGCATGACTAAGCAACTCTACCTGTTTGTCTAGATCGTGTAAGTGATGGTTGAGGCTAGTCAGGCGTCGAAGATGTTCATCCCGGTGTTCCCCATCCAACTGCGCAAGACGAGCCTGAGATAGTGTGCTAGTCTAAGTTACTTCAGTGCTGGCTCCACACACACTATATATTGTTAGTTCTACACACCTCGTATTTATACAATCCCACAAATTTTATGACTATATAATACAGTAACATGACTCCTTATAGAGTACTTGCATAAATTTTGTGAAGGAGCCTATCAGGTTTCCCCTATTGAAATTTAAGCACAACCCTTCCAAATAAAAATACAAAAAATTATCAATGAACAATCTTCTTAGGGTCCACTGGGTGCCTATAATATTTCAACTTTCGACCAACAGATGAGTAATAAAAATACACAAATAACTCGCACATAGAATGAAACTCATGACGTTTCAGTCCGATTTGGACCAGTAAATAATTTGAAGTAAAAGGACACAAGTGCACCTAATGTGACATTTATTGTGGCAACGTTTCGCTCTCCAGGAGCTTTATCAAGCCACAATAAATGTCACATTAGTTGCACTTGTGTCCTTTTACTTTACATATTGTCGGTAATTCTACCAACTTCATTACAAATAATTTAAAGATATACCATATACGACTGCGCCACTATATTATATATATATATATATATATATATATATATATATATATATATATATATATATATATATATATATATATATACATATGCCATTATGTGCCTCTAAATCTTTTGCAGTTCAATCTGAAAGTATATGGCTGCCCACAGTTAACTTTCAATACAATAACCCGTGTGGCAGAATTTACAAGACACTATCACTGTTTTTAAATATTATAGTCATTCAAACACCATGATTTGTGTTGTAAATATCGAATGACTGATGAAAGGCTCATGATCCAGGGAACTGGATCGAATCTTTACTTCCTTTGAACACACCTGTTTGTCTCCCATTCCCCAGGCGCTGTATGACCCCCAACCGGTCTAAAACGACTCAATACAATAATGTTACATATAAGGAATGAACTCGATGAGCAGAGCACTAATAACATTTCTAGTAATGTTGACGTTAATGTACTAATAAATCTTACTAGAATCTACTATGTACAAACACAGATTAGAATTTCTGAAGCAGCTAAGGTGAGCACTAATCTCATTCCTTCACTTCAAATCACCTCCGACTAGGCATGCCAGTGCTGAGACATCACTACAAACCAGTGTGCTTGGAAATAGCTCGCTAAATACAGTTTAAGTATTACAATTATTTACACCTAGTTAAATTACATTTTAAGGATTACAGTACACGAAGATCACCCCCAAGAAAAGTATGAAATATAATTACGCAAATTTATGCTATTTTTCATATTGCCAAAAAAAAGTAATCTAACCTTATCTTGCTAAATATTATATAGTTCAAAATAATTTATCCAAGAATTAGAAGTATATTTCACCATTTTCCAGGAACGGGGGAAGGGGTGGCAAATCTTCATATGATACCCTATTTGTACATAGTTCTTAGGCTACAATAATGAAATCCAAAAGTTTGCATACCCACACTACTTGTACAAAGATTTGCTAGAAGATATAACAAACTGAAAAAAAATAATACACCGTCACTTGCAAACTGGGCAAATGATATATGTATGTGAATGTTGGCATCATGCACTACGTCATGCAATACTTGACACACAACAAGTGGAAAACCCAAGGCAAAACTGAAGCAAAACTGTGAATACATAAGCGGAAGCAAGCATGTCCGACTGTGGAGGAAAAGCATTAATAAGGCGAAATACTGATGGCAATGAAAGTCACTGGAACAAGCAATTAAAAATACCAATATTAAGCATTTAAATTAAAAATATGAGCATTTTAGGTGTATAGCAGAACCAAGTATATTCCTGCAGTGATAACACTACGGCGACGCCTACCATAGTGAGCTCAGACCGCAACAAACACCACCAGCAGCAGTAATTAGCAGTGACCTGAGTGTCGATTAGTCGGGTTAATCTGCAGGTTGCTCCCCCCAGGGTAAAAGAGCATACACGCCCCAGGGGGGTAGGAATGAACATACACAGAGGTGGTGGTGGGCGGCGACGTGGGCGTACCTGGGAGTCTCTCTCAAGGCGCGCATGATGTCTGGCAGACTGGAGTGCAGAATGATGTCGGCGCAGCTGGATGAGCAGCAGAACGAGCTCCTCGTGGGTCTTGCCCAGCAGCTCCCCTGCGCTCACCCCCTGCAGGCCCCGCACCTCCACGTTCTCCTGCGGCGCTGCTGCTGGCTGCTGATGATGCAGGTGGTGGTGGTGGTGATGGTGGTAGTACGGGACGGTGTTAGTAGTGCAGGAGGAGATGGTGTGCTGCGGAGTGGTGTGGAGGGAGGCCGGGCGCACCCCGCCGCCCGCTCGGCCGCTCAGGGCACGCCGAGCCCGAGGCTGCACAGGGGGACCATAACCCGTCAGTCCCCAAAAGTCCCCTCAATATGTACATCTTTCAGTCACGCATGACAGCAGCTACTGCTCGCGCACGCGCACACACACACACACACACACACACACACACACACACACACACACACACACACACACACACACACACACACACACACACAATGCGGTCCTCCCTGGACCAAACAAGTGCCACTCTAATCTTTTAACTACCGCCCACACAATGGTATGGGATGCACAATAAAAATATTAAACTAATAAAATAACTATGAAGAGGTAAAAATGACCAAGTACTATACTAGATGTGTACGTGTTGGAGACTGAAACCTGACCTGACAGCAGGAAGATACCAGTGTTCCAACCACTGGCACGAGTCATGTCTACTGTGTACTAACATGACCCCAGGCATAGTCGGACAAGAAGTAGTTAACATACTAGAACAGTAGCATACTAGAACAAGAGTAATATAATAAAACAAGACTGACATACTAGAACAAGAGTAGTTAACATACTAGAAGAAGACTGACATACTAGAACAAGAGAAGTTAACATACTAGGACAAGAGTGACATACTAAAACAATAGTAGTTAACATACTAGAAGACTGACATACTAGAACAAGAGAAGTTAACATACTAGGACAAGAGTGATATACTAAAATAAGAGTAGTTAACATACTAGAACAGTAGCATACTAGAACAAGAGTAATATAATAAAACAAGACTGACATACTAGAACAAGAGTAGTTAACATACTAGAAGAAGACTGACATACTAGAACAAGAGAAGTTAACATAATAGGACAAGAGTGACATACTAAAACAAGAGTAGTTAACATACTAGAACAAGAGAAGTTAACATACTAAATCAAATCAAATCAAGTTTATTCTCTATAAGGGTTACAATGTGGGGTTTACAGGATTTGGATATTGTGTGGTTTACATGTTATAAAATACTAATTACAGAGGGGGCCACTAGGACACCTAGCATGGCTAGGCATTTCGGGCAGACTTAGATTAATTCTTAATATTAAATCCTTACAGATTATGGTATTAAGGCTAAGTGACTACATTATAATTTGTGAGTTTAGCAATGTGAATGCTTTTGTTTTGGCACAATACAAAGTGTCTATATTGGAGTATCATAGGCAAACTTATGACTAGTTAGGATTCATTATTTTAAGACTAAGATTAGTATTTCTGTATTTATAGTCAGTTGGTGAGTGAGTGTAATTGTGAACCACCAGGTGGTTATCATGTAGTTAGTTGTCGGGATGTATAAGGGAGATAAGATGTTTTCCAGCTGTAGTTTTGTAAGTGATGAGTGTGTCTGCAGTTCTAGAGTTTTCAGGTAGGGCGTTACAGACTTTAGGTCCTTTGAAATACATTGAATTTTTGTAAAGGTTTAGTCGGACACGGGGAATGTCATAGAGATGTATGTGTCTGGTGTTATGCCTGTGGATCCTTTCACAACTATCAAGAAAGCGTTTTAGGTCAAGGTTAATATTGGAATTTAAGGTCCTGTAGATATAGATTGCACAGTAGTAAGTGTGGATGTTCTGAACAGGGAGTAAGTTTAGATCTATGAAGAGTGGGGGGGTGGGGGTGTTGCCAGGGATGGGATTTAGTGATTATTCTTACTGCGGCTTTTTGCTGGGTTATTATTGGCTTTAGGTGTGTTGCTGCAGTTGAACCCCAAGTACAGATAGCATAGGTGAGGTATGAATATATAAGTGAATGGTATAGTGTGAGAAGGGCAGTTTGCGGCACGTAGTATCGTATCTTGGAGAGGATCCCCACCGTTATGGATACTTTTTTTGTTATGTGTTGGATATGGGTGCTGAAATTTAGGTTGTTGTCGAGGTATAGGCCAAGGAATTTGCCCTCATTATGTCTGGCAATTAGAGTGTTGTCGATCTTAATGTTAAGTTGCGCAACACCTGCTCTGCTACCAAACATAATATAGTAGGTTTTGTCAGTGTTAAGTATAAGTTTATTGGCTGTCATCCAAGTCGATATTTTGAGCAGCTCCTCGTTAGCAATGGTGTTGAGGGTGGCAAGATTAGGGTGAGAGATGACATAAGTCGTGTCGTCAGCAAAAAGAATGGGTTTCAGGTGTTGGGATATGTCTGGAAGATCACTGATGTAAATGAGGAAGAGCAGGGGTCCAAGGACACTTCCCTGCGGAACTCCAGTATCAAGTGGCCGTATTGATGAGGCTGTGTCTTTAATGGTGACATACTGACACCTATTAGAAAGGTAGGATTTGAAATATGCAAGCGCATGGCCTCTTATACCATAGTGGTCAAGTTTGTGGAGTAGGATGCCGTGGTCAACTGTGTCAAACGCTTTTCTTAGGTCAATAAAAATTCCTAGCGGATATTCCGTATTTTCCAATGCTGACATACTAGAACAAGAGTGATATACTAAAACCAGAGTAGTTTACATACTAGAACAAGAGTGACATACTAGAACAAGACTGACATACTAGAACAAGACTGACATGCTAAAACAAGAGTAGCATACTAGAACAAGACTAGTTAACATACTAGAACAAGAATAACATACTAGAACACGAGTAACATACTAGAACAAGAGTAACATACTAGAACAAGAGTAACATACTAGAACAAGACTAGTTAACATACTAGAACAAGAGTAACATACTAGAACAAGAGTAACATAATAGAACACGAGTAACATACTAAAAGACGAGTAACATACTAGAACAGGAGTAACATACTAGAACAGGAGTAACATACTAGAACAAGAGTAACATACTAGAACAAGAGCAACATACTAGAAGAAGAATAACATACCTGAAGAAGAGTAACATACTAGAACAAGAGTAACATACTAGAACAAGAGTAACATACTAGAACAAGAGTAACATACTAGAATAAGAGTAACATACTAGAACAGGAGTAACATACTAGAACAAGAGTAACATACTAGAACAGGAGTAACATACGAGAACAGGAGTAACATACTAGAACAAGAGTAACATATTAGAACAAGAGTAACATACTAGAACAAGAGTAACATACTAGAACAAGAGTAACATACTAGAACAAGAGTAACATACTAGAACAAGAGTAACATACTAGAACAAGAGTAACATACTAGAACAAGAGTAGCATACCTGAAGAAGAGTAACATACTAGAACAAGAGTAGCATACTAGAACAAGAGTAACATACTAGAACAAGAGTAGCATACTAGAACAAGAGTAACATACTAGAACAAGAGTAACATACTAGAACAAGAGTAACATACTAGAACAAGAGTAACATACTAGAACAAGAGTAACATACTAGAACAAGAGTAACATACTAGAACAAGAGTAACATACTAGAATAAGAGTAACATACAGAACAAGAGTAACATACTAGAACAAGATAACATACTAGAACAAAGTAACATACTAGAACAAAGTAACATACTAAGAACACATACATACTTGAACAAGAGTAACATTTACTGAAACAAGAGTAACATACTAGAACAAGAGTAAGTCTAGAACAAGAGTAACATACTAAACAAGTAACATACTAGAACTAGAGTGAACATACTAGAACAAGAATAACATACGAGAACAGGAGTAAATCTAGAACAAGAGTAACATACTAGAACAAGAGTAACATACTAGAAACCCAAGAGTAACATCTAGAACTAGAGTACATACTAGAACAAGAGTAACATACTAGAACAAGAGTAACATACTAGAACAAGAGTAACATACTAGAACAAGAGTAACATACTAGAACAAGAGTAACATACTAGAACAAGAGTAACATACTAGAACAAGAGTAGCATACCTGAAGAAGAGTAACATACTAGAACAAGAGTAGCATACTAGAACAAGAGTAACATATCAGAACAGGAGTAGCATACTAGAAGAAATAACATACTAACTAGAACAAGTAACATACTAGAACAAAAGAAGCAGCGTTTCGATCTTGCCATACGCGGGGGAGGACACATTTCCCTCCCTCCCGCTGCAATAAGTTATGATTTTGTGTTGATATGGGACCTAGCCTTCCAACATACTAAATTCCAGGTGTATATTATCAAGTATCTCTTGCTTTTTCACTTCAGAGTACATTCCACGTAATCTGATTCGTTCCAGACTTTTGTCAGTGCCCACGTCATGGGAATATGTCCGTGCCGTCTGAGAAATTGCTGGCGACGACTTTTGTGTCTGCGTCCAGCATTTTGTAAGCCAAACTCTCAAACCACACTGATGTGACCTACACTCTGGGCACACTGATGTGACCTACACTCTGGGCACACTGATGTGACCTACACTCTGGGCACACTGTGACCTACACTCTGGGCACACTGATGTGACCTACACTCTGGGCACACTGATGTGACCTACACTCTGGGCACACTGATGTGACCTACACTCTGGGCACACACTGTGACCTACACTTGGGACACTGATGTGGCCTACACTCTGGGCACACTGATGTGACCTACACTCTGGGCACACTGATGTGACCTACACTGGGAACACTGATGTGACCTACACTCTGGGCACACTGAACTGACCTACACTCTGGGCACACCGATGTGACCTACACTCTGGGCACACCGATGTGACTTACACTCTGGGCACATTGATGTGACCTACACTCTGGATACACTGATCTGACCTACACTCTGGGCACACTGATCTGACCTACACTCTGGGCACACTGATGTGACCTACACTCTGGGCACAGTGTGACCTACACTCTGGGCACACTGATGTGGCCTACACTCTGGGCACACTGATGTGACCTACACTCTGGGCACACTGATGTGACCAACACTGGGAACACTGATGTGACCTACACTCTGGGCACACTGAACTGACCTACACTCTGGGCACACCGATGTGACCTACACTCTGGGCACACCGATGTAACTTACACTCTGGGCACATTGATCTGGCCTACACTCTGGATACACTGATCTGACCTACACTCTGGGCACACTGATCTGACTTACACTCTGGGCACACTGATCTGATTTACACTCTGGGCACACTGATTTGACCTACACTCTGGGCACACTGATGTGACCTACACTCTGGGCACGCTGATCTGACCTACACTCTGGGCACGCTGATCTGACCTATACTCTGGGCACACTGATCTGACCTACACTCTGGGCACACTGATCTGACCTACACTGGGCACACTGATCTGACCTACACTCTGGGCACACTGATCTGACCTACACTCTGGGCACACTGATCTGACCTACACTCTGGGCACACTGATCTGACCTACACTCTGGGCACACTGATGTGACCTACACTCTGGGCACACTGATGTGACCTACACTGGTACACTGATCTGACCTACACTCTGGGTACACTGATCTGAGCTACACTCTGGGCACACTGATGTGACCTACACTCTGGGCACACTGATGTGACCTACACTCTGGGCACACTGATGTGACCTACACTCTGGGCACACTGATGTGACCTACACTCTAAGTTACACACCTTCAAGAATAAACGCCACAGATCAGTCCGCATTCTGGGCGTTGTTTCTGGCCATCATGCTCTATGACGCTATGTTTCGTGCGTAAAATGAGAAATGGGTGCATTTATTCTAGCGAAAACTGTGACAGTTCGTTCTCGTGCACTATTCTACCCCCCCCCTCCTCTCTCTCTCTCTCTCTCCTCACTCCATCTTCTCAAACACACACACACACACACACACACACACACACACACACACACACACACACACACACACACACACACACACACACAAATTGGCTTTATTTGCCAGGCAAATGGGACAGCCACTGCCACCAATTTTAAGTTTCACTGTGCCAGTGCTGATTCAAACGTGGCTACGATGCAGTGCTACAAATCTTCGGTACATTAGCTATGACAAAATATTTTTTTTAACACGATGCAACTAACTGAACATACCATAAAATTAATCTATATTGACATACCGTCAATATCTAAATGCATCTGCAATAAAAAAAAATACTAAATATCCCATCAAAATTTCTAAGAGTTGCCAAAAACCGCAAAAATGCACATTTTTCCCCCAAGCCAAAATGCAGCTACTGCCAAAGTAGCCAGATGCACAAGATAAAAATGAAGATAAGTGTATATTAGCCAAACAATCAGAATATTTAAATACTATTCAAAGCGATATCTTGATCAATAAGAATCTATCTTTTAATATGGGCAGTGTGTAATAACATACACGAGTTTGATGTGGATGAGCTGCAGCTCTTGGGCAGGATACAGATACCGAGAAGTGTGTGTATCTTAGTGTACAAGCGCGTACGAGTTTAATAACTATTTCGGGTATTAGAGTATCCTAGACTAGTGTACATGTAACCTTGATACCCACGTATAGTCGGTAGGCTTGAAATTCAAGAGACCCTACTCTTGGGCCACCTGTGTTCGTGCTTTTGCACGTACGAGGAACCCCTTCAAAGTGAGAGGGGGAGGGGGGTTGCTGGTTTACAGCTCCCCCCTGGATATATAATTCAAGGAGGCTTTATGATTTCTAAGGATTTAGCGCTTCCCATAATACATTAATGTGCAGGCCTGCGAGCTACCAACAATAGTGTGACTGACCAGACAGTTAATAGTGAAATATGACATGAGGTTTGGCTTCGAGAGAAAAAAAGAAACAGGACTCAAACATCACAGGTAAGGTCTAATTATTTTTTTCAAAGGACTGGTCCTTGGACAAGCCGATGTATATGAGGAAGTGGTGGAAACAGTTTTCAGAATAGGTATGATAGGGCCCATGAAAGGGTGTTGTAGCCGTCTTTCCAAGGCCTGGGAAGTAGCGTGGAGTGTTCAGACATTTAGTAAGTCTGTGGGAAGGAAGAGCAGAGAAAATGAACGAGAACTCTTAGAGAAATGAACCTATAAACATCCTCCACTCATAAGGCAAGACAGTTTACGAGACGAGGTTATTTGTAACGACACAGGAGCAGCAACACTTGATCTACAGCTAAGAAAAGCTACATTTAAAATGCGCCTCTTTTATATAAAGAAGGAAGGGGAAGGAACGAGAGAAGAAATAGTGATAAGGAAATACGAAAATGGGGGAAGAAGCGCTTCTTCCACCAGCAGAAGAGGGTTATAATGCGGATATGTTACTAACCATCACGCTATCCTCAGGGAATTCTGTTCCTACGCACGCCAAGCCAACACACGCGTGCGCGTGCACACACATCAAGCCACGTTGAAAGGTAAACATACACCAGTGAAGCTGCCGATGGAATAACATCAACCGACACCTCGACACACCTTTCACCTTAACATCATAAGTTACCAGGATCAGACGCATAACCAGGAAATACGAAAGATCCGGAGATAAAAGGCTGCCCCAATGAATATTTCTATATTTTTTAAAGCTATGTATAAAGTTGAAAGAAATAATGATGTAGCATGTGTCAACTGCTGTCTTTATATACATATCTGTATAGCATATACAGATATGAACTGTTTAGTCATGCAGGCACTGTATAAAACAATAGTATGAAGTCTTTCGGTGTCATAATATTTACGACTATAAAATTAAACAAAAAAATGTAGTAAGAAGGTAAGTAACTGCCGAATTGAGGGAAATGGACAATGGTGCATTTACACTACTGAAAACGATTTGATCATTGGACCTTAATCACTTGAAATAATGTACAGAGCTATTTGAAGTGACCAAAACTTTTTCAATTAAGGCGTCGTAAGTGAATGCATTCGTGTCCGTTTCCCTTAAAAAAAAAATCAAAGGCATACACAAATAAACCTGGTCCACCCCGCAGCACAATGTCTCCTCTTACAAACTATTTTCTTGTTTCCAGAAGAAAATGATGAACACAGAAATGTTCCTACTTGGGGGGACGCACACAATGAAGACGGCACAATAACACAAAAAAAGCTGTATCGGAGGTTAGTGAGACCTGGCGAAGGTGGTACCACAAAAACAAGGCTAGTGCAGCCATTCCCTGGTCTCGCGTAGCCTTGCCAGGATTCACTTACCACTGCTACTTATATTTATTGCACCAGCTGGAGCCTCAAGCTGACCTAGCCTCGTGGGAAATAAGTGATCATATCGAGAGGCTCAAACAATGACCATCACACATGTTAGTAGGTGAGGACACACATGTAAGGCATGTAACGAAATATTTTAGAAAATATGGAAATGTGTGTAGATTTAATAGCTGTGGTTTGTTAAGTTTAAGGACATGCCCTAATTATATCATTATTTTATAGTCAATTCTAAGCTAAAAATAACTACATACTGAATTAACATGCTCTAAAATTTGAATAACTACTACCTTTATAATTCAGTGTGCATTACAAATAAAAATACAAGCAAATTTCATGGCCAAAAAATTATTCCAAAAAATCCAAGAAGCAGCTATACAGTGATACGTATCCCAGCAAATCCCAACCCCATAGCAAAACTACAGGTTCAAGCAATTTAATCACACTTATGCCCCCAATGCGCAATGCCCATGGTTATGCATGTACGCCACAAACTCATACATGCCCATACAAATTTTGAATATCTCCAAAGAATTTCCCCACAATCCTACTCTTTCGTTCTCATACAGCATAAACACTCAAAATATTAGGCAAATTTAGTAATGAATTTGGTTTTACACATTTGCTCAAAAATATTTTTTTTTATTTATCTCACATTTAAGAAACAAATATACAGCTAAAAATATAGCTGGGAAAAATCGAGTCACTTACTTTAGATACGGTAAGCTCAGAGTCGGAAAATTGTTGTTGATGGATATCATTAGGAGGGCGACCGTTGAGCCGTTGGTCGTGATGGCGCCCGTAAGTAGTGCCATAATCCAGGTTCTTATAGTCTTGCTGGTGGTTCTTATAGTCTTGTTGGTGATTCTTATAGTCTTGCTGGTGATTTTTGTAATCCTGCTGATGGTTCTTGAAGTTATGGTAGTCCTGGAAGTCGTAGTGGTTGGGTCTATACGTACCGTTCATCCTAGCACTCTGACTATTGAGGGTGTTGTATTCACCGTTTGGATTAGCAGGCAGAGGCTGCTGGCTCTCCTGGTAATTGGGAGGACGACTTGGAGCTTGTTTGTAGTTATTAGGGTAGTTATGATCCTCTGAGTAACCGTGAGGATAGTTTTGGTTCCCAGGGTAGTTAGTATAAGGCCCATTACTTTGATAATTTTGCCCAGGATATACTTGGTATTTGTTGTGTAAGTCATCACTTTTGTAGTGGTGATACTGGTTCTGTGAATGAGGATGCGGATGATGTTGGTAATTTTGGTGGTGAGCGTGCGGGTGATGCTGGTACTTTTGATGGGCGTGTGGGTGGGCGTGGGTAGATCCCTGAGGCCCCGAGGAATTAGGGGCGTTGGGATCTGATCTGCGAGGTAGACTTTCTCCCACTTTGACATCTGCAAGAAGAAAAAAAATACCGTTACAAGATATACTATCAAAATAAATATATAAAAATATAGGCAAGCATAAGATCGTTAGGGTCATACAATGTCTGGGAAATTAGAGGGGTGACAAGTGTGATCCGAGAAAGGGAAGTGCCTTCTCCCCCAAATGTTGGGTACAAATTTTATTAAGACTGTGGAAAATCAAATTTACCTGGATGAATCTCATTAGATACATTCCAGTAAATGGTAACAAAGATAATTATTCTTTATCAAGGTTACAGAGACAAGTAGGAATTTTAGGACACCTAGGTCGCAAAAAATGTCCCCCTTCGATACCTACTACAATCTATATCTCCACAAGTCACTCTGGACCTATACTAATTTCAAATGAAATATACATCACCAGGAATTCTGGTAAAACATTAATATAAATATGTGGACTGTATATTAAATTTAAAAAATGGATACATATACACTGAAGGAGAATTTATCTTAATACCACTCACCAATTAGTCTGGAGATTATGGTGTCATACACAAAAACCCCTGCCTAAAATATGAAGAAAATACTGGCCAGAATTTCAACATAAATAGACATCACCTAGCTGTGGTAATATCCTGTTTCCATCTAATTATGGAGTCCTGTCCTGTCGCTAATTCTTACGTTCTGCAGGACTGCAATTCCAAGAATTTCGGCTTCTATCTGAGAGGTTTTAAGCCCAATATAACCTCTAGAGCGACGAAAATTCTTCGGATTTTCACTAACGTTTCTCTTGGTCAGTTCAAAACAATGGCGACTCCCTTCCCCAGTGGTGCTCAACCATTTCGCTGGTTCTTTATTTATTTACAAATTAATTTTTATTACCTACAATATATTCCATCAATTTACATACAAAAAAACACTGTATTTTCGGAAAATATACAGTATTTTCCACAAAGACCATATATAACATCAACAACTATAATAAAAGCCACATTCATTCTTTACCATCTTTTTCTTCATTGACAAATTTGCTTTTGAAACTTGAATACCTCCATATTATGAGAAAGACAGACATATGGAGTACTTTGAATTAAGTCGACAGTGCTGAATTTGCAAATCGAACTAAGTCGACTGACATAGTATAACCTGTAATGACGCAGTTGGAAAAGAATGAAATGGGGATGGCAATAAATTGTAATGGAATGGGATTGAAAAGAAATGGAAACAAATATATAACAACTCAAACAGTTATGGAAGTTCTTACAAAAGTTCATTCAACTGTGAGACAGGGTAAACAAAACACTGGTTTTAAATGACAACGATCCATTTTTCACTTAAATCTCCACACAGTCCTTCCCCACTTATTTCAAAAGTGGCTTTTTCTAGGCCTCACAAAACCTGCAACCTCAATCTCCATTACGTCTATTTGACTCCCTGGTCTGATCTGTCTCGATTCCAAACAGAAAAGGACACAAAGCGCTTAATGCACTTAGGACATCTTTACTGGAAACGTTTCGGTCCTTGGACCTTGGTCACTCCAAATTGCAGTGACCAAGCTCCAAGGACCGAAACGTTTCCAATAAAAATGGCTTTAGTGTACATACTTTTGTCCCTTCATCCATAACTCAAAAGTCTAAAATAGTCCGATAAAAGAAGTATGATAGATCAAGAATCTACAACCCAACATTAAGAGTCCATCACAGGGTAGTAGTGCTTGTTATAATAATAATTGCAGTAACTGGGGAGGGAGGAGGCTGTTACAGCGCATACAAGCACTGCCCTCGGCCTTGTTATTACCATATTAATTATTCATGCAAGACCCTGGCCATCACACACCCAATTTATATTACGCATGTACACTTTACGTATCATGTAGAATTAACACACACACACACACACACACACACACACATACATATATATATATATATATATATGTCGTGCCGAATAGGTAAAACTTGCTATTTTTGTCTTAAATAGCAACGGTCTTCTTGCCGAATAAGGCAAGCGAAAATTTGTGTATGCAATAATTCTGCAAAAATCATTCTGAACCTAACGGAAAAAAAAAAATATTTCAATGTGTTTGTTTATTATTAATTATTGTAAACTTATCTAAAATATATTCAGTTGGATTAGGCTAAATTAAATTGCGCTTGTTATAATAAGGTTAGGTAAGTTTTCTAAGGTTCATTTCGTACAAAATTATTAATTTTTACATTAACATAAATGAAAAAAATATATCTTTAAACGTATAAGAGAAAATTTTAGAAAGGACTTAATTTTAAATGAGTTTTGCTAATTGACTAATTTTACCTATTCGGCACGACATATATCTATCTATATATTTCTTCTTCTTTCAACAAACCGGCCGTATCCCACCGAGTCAGGGTGACCCAAAAAGAAAAACAAAAGGTTATCTTAACTTTAGTAATGTATACAGGATAAGGGGTTACTAGCCCTTTGCTCCCGGCATGTTAGTCGCCTTTTACGACACGCATAGCTTACGGAGATATCCCCGAAATTCAGTCCCCCTCTACCTCAATGATCCGCGAAAGGTATCCCTGTATCCCATTAACCCAGCCCCCCTCTACCTCAATGTTCTGAGGAAGCATCACAATATCCCATAAGCCAAGACCTTTCTATTTCAGTGAACCGAGAAAGGTATCCCCGTGTCCCATATATGCAGCTTCCATCTACCTTAATAATCCGTGAATGTATCCACTAGTCCCATAAACTCAGCTCCCTGTACCTTAAGGTACGTAAAAGGAATAGTACAGTGTGCCATAAGTTTCTAAAGCAGTTAAGCAGCATCGATGATAATTTGTCAATCAGAATGATTTGTTAATCAGAAGAGGCTTCACAAGGTACCGCAAAGAAACAAATCTCCCATTTTCTTTTTTTTCTTTTTTTTGCAATAAAAATGGTAAACTGACACCTACGAAGCCAAAATTCAATTTGAACCTTCCACTAAGATATGCTAACTTCGAAAATTTAAAGGTTATCGCACAGATCAGTATCCCAAAACACACCAGAACTTAAATTTTGAAGCTGGTCAGAAGTTGGTCCGAAGTTATCAGCGTTCAAGATTTGAAGTCGATCTGGTGCAGCATTCACAAATTATTGCATGAAAACGAGTAGAATATTTCAAATGTCCTAATTTCTTCGATAAAAATTTGTAAATTCGTAACTACACATCCCGAAGTATTGTCTAGTTATTAGTGGGAAACAGAGCAGGAGACTTATTCTCGCGTTCTCGCACAGAATCTAACAATTGCAAGTTAATTAACTATTTTAGTAAACTGACATACACTAATAACCCCTCACACAGGAGAAACTCATGACGATGTTTCAGTCCGGTTTGAACCATTAACTAGTCACACACAAGCACGAAGGGAAGGGTTTATTATTATTATAATCAAAAAAAGAAGCGCTAAGCCACAAGGACTATACAGCAACGAAGGGAAGGGAGCCAGTGTGTATTGTTCCAGTCACAGTACTGTGTCTTTTTATTCTTTAAACTGACACATTGTCCCTACACAGCCTAAGCCCCAAATATGTCATCATTTTAAACCATACCCCCGGCCGGGATTGAACCCGCGGTCATAGAGTCTCAAAACTCCAGCCCGTCGCGTTAGCCACGCTAGCTGGAGATTCGTCTGTAAAAACTTGCATTTGTGGTCACAGAGGTGCCTGTGCTAACCTTCCTATGGTGTAGAAATATACCTAGTTGGATGAATCTTATTGTGGCTAGCTGGTCTAGTGGCTAACGCGACGGGCTGGAGTTTTGAGACTATGACCGCGGGTTCAATCCCGGCCGGGGGTATGGTTTATTTGCAATCGTGTCATTACGATTTCTTGAGTCATGTCATCATTTTCTTAAGATGTGTCGGCTATTAAAGGCTGAAGTCGATGAAGAGTCATGCTTCAGTTACTTCGTTGCAAAACCATACAATTTTTATAAACAAAATTGGCAAGATGGCAGCTAAACACTATAATAAAGTCAGTATCCAATCAGCCGGGCTGTGGTTCGTATGTTGGAGTACGTGTGGCCAGCAGCAACAGCCTGGTTGATCAAACCCTGATCCACCAGGAGGCCTAGTCAAGGACTTAGCTGCGGGTGCGTTGATCCCCTTGAACACCCTCCAGGTAGATAATCCTAAACTTTTTTCCTATCAGTATACATCAGTGCTAAAGTTTGAAGCCGATCAGAAGAGGCTTGCTCGAGTTATCTTAAGAAAACCAAATAAGGAATGGTATATATAAAATTGATTAGGAGACACCTGTGCGTGCAAATAGTCGCGTTAACCTTTCCTAGTTGCAGTACACGAGTGTTAAAAATTTGAAGCTGATCCGATGAGGTGTTGTCAGCTTAAAAAGGAAAACCTTGATAAAAATTCTGTTGACCACTTGAAGGCACATCTTGGAGAATGACTAATTAATGCCCCAAAATAGGATAGGATGGACTGCCGGTGGATGATTGATAAAGACTACAATACTACTCACACCCAAATTCACTGTAACTTAGTCATAACACCAGCATGTAGTCTTCTCCACACGTTACCAGGGGTAAATTAACACTGACACGCCCCTGCTCTACTCTGCTACCTTTAATCAATAATTACGTAATGCTTATAAGCCATCACTAGCGCAATGCAAATTCTGAGGTCTCTAAACAGAAATACATGTGTTCCTACAATACTGCTGTATATTTAATTAGAATGTGAAATTAACTTTTTGTAGGTTGTTTAAAAATGCAAATTAGCAGGAAATTTAAAAAATCTGGTACAAATAAATTATTTCACCAGCGACTATGGGCTAGTCCCAGACAGTTTTAGAAGCGGTATTGTAATTTATTCTTCAAGCACAGTAATACTGTACAAATGTAACGAAATTTAGAATTAAAACTAATATAAAAATGTGCGTCAATGAAACTAATCCTGCTGGAATCACATCAATTATAGCAAGTCTGGTTCAAGATAAATCCCACGAGGACGACTGAGGGACCCCAGAGTACATTTTTTTATGATTGT